TATATTTTCTAATAGAATCTCTATTTATATCTTTCTAAGTAGAACTATTAGTAAAACTTAATGAGTTTTACTTTAAGAGTAAGTAAAAGAATATATAGACAGAAGGTTTCTTTTACTAGATAAAAAATAAAGCTCTTTCCTAGTTTAGTTTCTACTATCTAAGGTTCTGAAATTCTTATAATATACATCTACTAATAGATAGATAGCTAATATTTCTACTAATACTTCAGCAAAAAATAAGTTTCTTATCTTTAGAAAGACTCTTAGGCTTAAATAAGTAAGATAATCATAGTAGTAAAATTATAAAACTATTCTTTAGCTTTAATAGAATTAATTTTGATAAAAAACCTACCTATACTTATAATTAATATTATATTAGCTCGTGTATAGTAAACTACATAATTAGAGTTTTATTAAAATTAACTCTATAAAATCTTATTAATAATCTATATAAATAGAATTAACTATTATTAATATAAAGAGATTCTTTTAAGTTCAAGCTATATGCTTTAGTACTAAATATTAAATGAAGCTATAAGTAAATTAGTGGCTATTTACTACTTTATAGATTAATTAGTAAGTAATCTTATTTTTAATCTTCTCTATTAAGATTAACTAGTAGTAATGACTTCTAGATAGCTTTTATTAAGATATTTTCAATAGACTTTAGAAAAACTAAAAGAAAGCTGTATGGTTTAACTTAGACTACTTAGTATATTAAGTAAAAGCTAGATAGCTTATAAAGAATATAATATTGACTACTAGTACTACTAAAGTATAGCTATTATGAAAGATTTCTTTTAATAAAAAAAGTACTTAATTATCTAGAACTATAATTAAATAATAACTATAATAGCTAAAATAAGACTCTAGAAACCTATAACACTTATGTAACTAAAGTTAATAGAATATATTAAGATTAAAAGAGCTTTCTAAAGTATTATATATAAAGCTAATACTAGTAGATTAAGTTAAAACTAATACTACTTATATACTCTTTAATAGATATATAAGATAGTATAATTAAGAAGCTAAACCTTTAGTAGAGAGATAAATATATAAATAAGAGATTATATTAGAGTTATATAGTACTAATAGAAGTTTAGTACAATCATTATATACTCTAGAAGTAGCGTTCTATATATTTTGTTTATATAGAAGTATTATACATTAAATTTTAACTAAGAGGAAAGACTAGTAACTTTTAGAATAGGGTCGATAACTAGTCTCTTCTACTATTTATAGATTAACTAATAAAGCTCTTAGCTATATGTTCTATTACTTTCTATCTATATATTATAGAGTAGTATTATTAGCACTTAGTTTACTAGTAGTAGCGCCCTATTACGTGATATTATAATTAGTTTTATAGTATTAAATATTAAGAGTAATATAAAGAAAACTATTATTAGTACTAATTTTTTAGTTTTTACTATATTAGCTATATTTCTAGTCTGCAACTATAGTAGTGCTAAAATATACTATACTACTATAAGGGCTATATTACTTCTTTAATAAGTTAGAGTTTACTAATTATTCTATTTTTAGTATATTTCTATACCGCTAAGTACTCTAGCTATAAAAGAGCTACAGAAGTATTAGAGAAAAGATAAGAAAGTATTATTACTAATAATAATATTAGTATATCTATTAACTTAAACCTTAATAAGTGATAGAATAGAATAATTAGATATATAAACTAAGTAGAATTAAGAAGAGAGTAGTATCTAATATACTAAGAAAGTATTTAATTACTAATTACATCTATTACTATATACTTAGAGATAACTATTTGTATCTAGAGCTGTATTAATATACTTAATAAAATAGAGGTTTCCACTATATACTACCTTAGCGAAAACTATAATTACCTCTAAAATTTATGTAGTAAAAACACTTACAACACTATAATAGATGCTATAGGTCGAAATTATAAAATCTAGTTATAGTTTTTCTAAGTCTATTCTTATACTATTAATATATCGACTTCACAGCGCTCTATAACTGCTAGTATAAAAGCCTTAGGGATTTAAAATTTTAGCTAAAGCTTAATTACAACTATATTTATAACTATAAAGCTATAGGAGCTAGTAGTTGCGGCTAGTGCGCTATAGCTATAGCTAGTACTATAGTTTAGCTATAAAAACACTAACTGCTAACTGTACTAACTACACTAACTTTACTAACTATATTAACCGCACTAACTACACACGTATACCTTAGATTACTAGTTTAACTCCTAGTAGGACTATACTTTTTCTATTTAGCTATAAGGTAGATATAGCCTCTTAGAATTATTATATAATATATAAAAGTCTATTAAGGTATAGAAATATCTAAATAGCTAAGAAAATCTATAGAAAACTTAAAATCTTATTAGAAAACTTAGAAATTCTGTAAATTGTCTATATAATAGTAGAACTATAGCTTTTTATATAGCTATAAGGTAAATCTATAGTCTATTAAGAGTAAAGAGTATTTAATAGGCTAGAAATATAAACAAGCTTATATTATATACTTATTAAAACTAAATAGATATAGAATATAGACTAAATAATAAACTAAACTAATAGCTAAAATAGCTAAACTATATACTAAACTAGAGACTATACTAATAGCTAAACTATATCTTAAACTATAACTAAAACTATAATCTAAGTATAAGTTAATAAAAGATACTTTCTATAATTCTATAAAAAGACTCAAGTAAAGAGTATTATAGAAAGTAGATTACAAAAGTAAATAGATAGTAAAGTAAAAAATAAAGTAAAAAGTAAACTACTAAGTAAGGTAGAAACTAGACTAGAGACTGTACTAGAGAGTATACTAGAAACTATACTAAAAGCTTTACTAGAAACTAAGCTAAAAACTAGAACAAAGAGTAAACTAAAAAGAAACTATATTAAAAACTAAACTTAATAGTTACTTAAAAAGAAAGCTAAGAATTAGATTATACTAGAATATATATTATAAGCTAAAGCTCTACCTACTTAATAATATATACTAATTTAAAAAGATATAGTATTAAGTTCTACATGATAAAAGGGTGAAGTATCATATATAAGCTCTTAGATATATATATACTATAAATACTATGCGTCTTATAGTATAAAAAGAGAACTATATGGTAAGCTAAGTAATAAACTAGAAATCAAACTTAGTAGTAAGCTAAGAAGTAAACTAAAATATAAACTAAAATATAAACTAAGATACAAACTAAGATATTAGCTGAAATAATAAACTAAAGAATAAATCAAAATATAAACTAAGAGAATAAAGTAAAAAATAGACTAGAGAATAAACTAAAGAGTAAGTAAAGTAGTAAACTAAGTAGTAAACTAAAGAGTAAACTAGATAGTAGATTAAGAGATTTAGTAAAAGATAAACTAAGAACTAGACTAAGAAATACACTAGAAAATAGGTAAGAAAGAAACTAAAAAGATACTAGAATCTAGATAAAAAAAAGAACTCTTTTATATAGAATAAAGAAAGGTAGGGGGGGTTTAAGAGAGAGAACACCCATTATCTAAAGAGAAAATGAAGGGCTTAAGGGAGAGAATCCCCCTTAGAAAGTGAAATATCTAATTTTACTAAAGTAAAAAAGATTAATAGATAGTACTAGACTAAAAACTAAAATAAATAGGAGACTACAAACTAAGCTACAAGCTAAAATAGAAACTAGACTCTAAGCTAAACTAAAAACTAAGTTAAAACTATACTCTAAGCTAAACTAAGAACTAATTTAATAACTAAACTAAAAACTAAGTTAAAGAGAGAATTAGATATAGACTATATAAGAGATAAAAATAAAATATTAATTAGAAAGTATTCTAAAAATTAGACTAGATTAAAATCTAAAAAATAGACTAAATTATAAAATAGATACACCTAGTATTATTAAATATAATATATTTTTAGACTTTCTAAATCTTTTATTAAGCTTTTATATAAAGATCTTAGCTAGTCTTTAAGAGGCTTTTATATATTAGTATAGTAATCTAGTAAGTAGATACTTTATATATATATATAGCTACTTAATAAAAGTTTAGGCTACTCTAAAATTAATAAACTTAAATCTTAAATAGCTTATATAATTTATTAGTATAGTTGATTTAAATATATTATATATTGTATAAATAGTAGCTTAATCTAACTATATGTATATTTTCTTTTAATTATATTTTATAGTAGCTACTATAGCCTCAACTAAGCTAGAAAAACAAGAAGTATTATATAGTAACTAAAAGTTTATAGAGTAATTAATATTTTATATAGAAATATAATATATTCTAGTTTTAATATATATACTCTTAGAGCTAGTACTTTACAGCTAAGCTTCTATTTTATAGTAGACTAAACTATAAATAAGAAATCTTTAAAATTAAAAATAGTATAACTTATTATATTTATAGTTTTTATACTTTATTTAGAAACAATAGTATTCAATTAAAACTAACTATCTATTTATTAGTTTTCTACTTAGTTAATATAGTCTACTCTTAATAGTACTTAGCTTAAAGTTTTTAGATAAAAAAGATAGACTTTTAGATACTACTAAAAGTTTAAACTTAACTAGTATTTTAAAAGTAAGTATATATATATATAGTTATTACTATAACTATTATCTATATATTTAGTAAAGTATATACTATTACTATCTAGTTTCTAAGATATATAAAAGTTTAAGATTTTATAACTTAGTAGTTTAACTAGCTTAGATAAACTAAATATAAAAAATAATTTTATATAGACTTAGTATATATAGTATAGATCTTATAACTATAGTTATAGCTTTAGTTATAGTATAATAATCAAGCTAGAGCTATTTTAAGTTTTTAGATTTTATAGGCGGCTTAAGTATTTATATAGTGACTGTAGTAGTCTTCTCGGAAGAAGAAGTAAAATATAAGTATAGTAGGATAAATAACTATTAGTTTTGACGGAAGATATTACTAACTTCTGATCTCCGACCTGCGCAACCTACGAAAGCTACCTGCAGACTACTTAGTAATAGAATGTGTCGTGGCGTTGTAAACGCTCGCCCTTCTCTCCAATTCCTTCTCTACATCTGCCACTAACGCATTCCTCGACACTGGCATAGCTGCTGCTATCGCTGCATAATCCCCATCGAAGAGCTGAGCAATCTCTTCCAGTGTCGGTCCCCGAGTCTCTACGAAGTAGAAATAGATGACCAAGCACTCAATAACCAAGATCGCAATGTAAAAGAAATAGAACTTCCATCTCAGGTTCTCAATTCCGATTGGGTTGACATACTGATTGAACACTCCGCTCAATGCCGTGAAGCAGAAGCATAGCGTCAACCCCTTGGCCCTGATTTGGTATGGTAAGATCTCTACCGTATATGACACGGTCAAACCCGGCCACGCAAGTCCAGCGACGCCGTAGAACAGGAAGATCATTGCGAGCACTGTGTAGCCGGCTGCAGAGCTGCCTGATTTTTCGTACACAGCGCTACAGGCTGTCCAGATCGTGAATGATATGAGCATACCAACGCCGGCACCGAGGAAAAGGACGCGGCGGCCGATCTTGTCAACTGTGAAGGCGAAGCAGAGGGAGACGAGCCAGCTCCAGATTGTGAGGCCACCGTTGATAAGAGCTTGCTGTTTGGGACTGTATATGTCAGTGATGTTGCGCGATGAGAAGCTGGGGCACTTACTCGGTGATACCGATTGTCTTCAAGATGGACGACAGATAATAGGACACCAGTCCGTTGCCAGAGCATTGAGAGAAGATGGCAGTAAGGATGATCAAGATGCATCGCTTGCGGTTACCGGGGGTCCTGACCATCTCAGCCCAGCCATTCTTAGCGGCTGCCTCCCTTTCTAGACGTAAAGTGTCGCGGATCTCGGCGAACTCCCAATTGACAAACGAATCGTTTTCGTTTCGATTTCCATGATACTTGATGAGGATTGCCTTTGCTTGTGCTTCCCTACCTCGACTGATGAGGTAGCGTGGCGACTCCGGGAAGAAGTAGAGAGTGAGAAGCTGAATTCCAGGCATCAAGCACTGGAGACCAGTCGGTAAGCGCCACGCCATATTTCCGGAATAACCTGTCAGAGTTCCGTAGGACACCCATGCGGCTATGATTGCCCCAAGATACCACAACGTATTGTACAATGTTGTCAGCTTTCCTCGATGTCTGGGGTGCGCAATCTCCGTGATGAGCAAGGGGCATGTTCCGTTGCTGATGTTGCTCCCGAAGCCGATGAAGAAGCGTCCTGCCAGATACATCGCTTTGGGATTCGAAGCGGGAGGGAACGATTGCAGTAAGGCGCCCATAATGATAATAACGCAGCCAAGAGCGGTACCATTCCGTCGGCCAAAGTAATCGGCGATGTATGGTGCAAATGGCAGAACAGCGAGGCCGCCGAAGCCCGGAATGGCACCATAAATACCGAGGAGTGCGCCAGTTGGATGATGAAAAACTGGAAAGACTGTCAGTTTCGGTTTGCGGGGAAGTGTAGGCGACAGTGAAAAAGCGGAATGCCACATACAATCTTGCCAGGACGGCATTGTCTGAAGACCATTGAGAAGGCTGCCATCATACCCAAGCGTGGTGGAACCAAGAAACAAGAGTGGCATCATGAAGTATAGCCTCCGGAGCATAGGTTGTTTGTACCAACTGACCGCCGACTCGTCGAAATCTGGATGACCAACAACAAACTCCACATGCCCCACTGAGGAGTCTGAGGTCGGGGTCTTTAGGTCCTTTTCGTTTTCCATTTTGAGTGAAGTGAATCTTCAATAATCTGCGATATAATGAAGAACTGAGCGCCGCAATTGTAGAACAGACGTGATTGTAAGGGCAATCTTTATACTTCTACGACTCCCCGCCAACCATCGACTTCCAGCAAGATCTGCGATGTCTTCTCGGAGAAATCTGGAGCAAGCCTTGAATCCCATAGCTGGGATAAGCTCCCCAGAGTGGTGATATCCGAAGTTTTTGCGTGTGGCGCCATCCCGACGGCTCTGCTAAGGCGCAGTTGGAACCTTCGAGATCTGAGACTGGAGCGATCAAGGGCCGTCCAGAATGAAGATCGCCTGTCCGCGCATTGACTTGAATGGAGAAATCCGACAACGGTAACTTTGGATGGCCCTTAGACGCTTGTGACAAATGGGATCCCTCGCTGATTCTGGGATACCGGCAGGTCCAGGGACCTCTGGTAGTCGACAGCGTACTGTAAGCGGAGCTCCGGATGTCTTGCCGTACAAACGAGTCGTCTATTGGTGTCCAAGTTGCAAATCGACTTGACGTGCTTTGCCGACTCAGCTGCTTTGGTGCTGCGAGTAAGCTTTGCCCTCAATCTAGCCATCTCCGAGCATGTCTCTTCCCACAAAGAGACGGCCTCGAGGCAATGCTTCAGTCATGTGCATCTCTGTACGCGAGAAGCACAAACACATTGGATCTAGGAAGCCAACCGCATCAAATAAGCAAGTTTTTACTCCCTTCGTAGCAGCTTGACAGCGACGATAGTGCGCTAGGAAGTATATCCGGACATTGCGTTGCTGCTTGCTGCTGCCAGATGCTATAACCTTGCCGTCACCCTACGGTAGGCAGCAGGTGGCCCAGCTCACGGCTGCCAAGATGCGGGGACCCCGCCCTGTAGAGGCTGAGAGCTTTCTCCTGCTTGACAATCCATATCCTAAATCCGACGTTTCTCCTACACCATCCGCACCATGCCTTCACTCGGATAAATTTCGATAAAATGGATGGGACTGCTCAAGCTAAAGTTCGGCGGCGCAACCGCAACGCGTGCGACCCGTGCCGTGCCCGGAAGGTCAAGGTAAGGCGGTGACCTTTTCAGTCAGCTCGGAATCTAACTGCTTCGCAGTGCGAGTACGATGGCCCGGTATGCCGATCATGCGTAGCATTGCAGATTGACTGCACTAAAAAAAGGCCCCGAAAGAAGAGGGGACCACTGAACCGGTAAACCTGGGATTTTTCTACATTCGTCTCTTCGCAGCTAACAAGCGGCCAGGTATGTTGAGACAGAGCGACAAGCCGAGACGGCCAGTATGGCACCATCACCTGCGTCGCCTTCAACATGTGGCCTGGACCAGCTTGGGCCCGCAGAGGTTATTGATATTCTTATTGACGACTGGTTTGAACGGATCCATTCGGTGGCCCCAATATTACACCGAGCGAGCTTCCTCCGTCGCCTTGCTGCTGGCGATGCCACCCGCGATCGGGAGTTTTTCAGCCTCGTCGTTTCAATCTGCGCTGCCACAGTCGCCAGCTTGAAGCGGAAGAGCTCCACTTACTGTGGCACTGTCACAGTTGAGAGATGTCTCGAGCTTGCCGAGCGCAACGACGCCAACCGGCCGAAGAATGGCTTGACTCTAGAGTTTTGCCAAACAAAGTACAACTTCTCTATCGCCTTAGGGTCAGAGCGAGGTCTGGACGACCCCTACTCAAGTCTATTGATGGCAGAAGCTCTTGCTGGCGTCAAATCCTTGATATACCACCAGCTAGATCAAATGGACTTTGTGAAGCAACAGCTGCTGAAGCGGCTATACTGGCTCATTTTCGCAGCTGAATGGTAAGTTTGTAGTTAGGTTGTGTGAAACCGGCTGACTCCACTTGCAGTACGGCGGGAATACACGGAAGACCTTACCTCGGCATGCTCTCCCCTCACGACTATGTGGAAGCTTTGAAGCCATTAGAGATCACCGATGAGGAACTTGATCCCTTAAACGAAGCTCAACTGGACAGTTGGCATGGCGATCGGACCACTTATATCCCCGGACTAAACCATCTGACGAATGTATTCATGCTTTGGTACAAATGTCATCAGGAAGCATGGCACAGCCCTGAGCGGCTTCAGGAGTACATGAGTCTGGTTAATTCAGCGCTGGACTATCTTCCACCGGAATTGAGGTGGCGAGGCGGCCTCTCTAGACCTCCCCAGTCCAACTTCGGAACGGATGTTCAAACCGTCAACTTGTACATCACTCAGATCCACGTCAGATCATCTTTGCTCCATCAGATGGATCATCTGGCTCGCGAAAGAGGCGCATCCGCCACCTCAGCTGAAATCACCACGGAGCAAAACCGTGTCGTTGACGATATGCTCGCAATTGTGTATCAAATGCCCGAGGACACTCTGGAGGCAAACGGTCACAGTCTAATACCGAAGTTACGTGATATTGGTCTAACGCTACTGCATGAGGATGCAGATCCCGCCAACGCCTTGGTCAATCTCGACAGGCTTCTGAAGAAGCTTGACAGATTAGACTACCGGCCGGAAGGGCAATTCGGCCAGACCAGTCCTGCCAGTGTCTAGCCGCTGTTGGACTTTGTCAAAGTTTTCTAAACACATTGAATGGAGCGGGTGGAGTCTCTCGATGTAGCAGAATATGAACAGTATGCAGAAGAGAATATACGGCTTAGGAAGGTGCCTCAATGTTGCGTGGTTACTGGAAGCAGCCGGGAAAGGAAGCCGAGGAGTGAGGGCGGAAGGTCATGTAAAGGAACGATTAAGAAAAGAAGGGGGCGGAGAGAAGGATAACGAGGATCTCTTCCCGCAGAGAAGTTGTTGGGAAACTAGCAAACACAGCGCATGTCTATCTTCCAACCCGCCACGGCCTCGATGCAGCCACAATCTTGCACTTGCAGCGTTGCAGCGGAGTGGAATCCACTGCCAGTCCACGGTCATCTTTTAGCCGAGTTGCCAGTCATCACGCTAATGCGGAGATGGCGGAAACCTATATCCGAGGTTTATGCGTGCTGATCGAGGCTGTACATTATTCGCATTGCCGTGAGAGGGATGAGGGCTTAGACAAGATATTACCATTCGTATTTATAGGCAACATGGCGTCCCCAATCTCACACTCAAGGTGTAACTTCCGCCCTTCTCAAGAATTTTGCATTATCCGTCATGCATCTCATTTTTCAGCCCTTGCGAACGCTGCAGACCATGGCTACAAGGACGGACATACCGCATTTGCGGAGAACGAAGAACTCCGCACAGTTGGTCGTCAAGGGAAAGCCATTTCTAATGCTCCCGGGAGAACTGCACAACTCAAGCCTCAGCAGTGCGGAGTTCATGAGCACAGTATGGCCGAACATGAGCGCGATGAACGTCAACACTCTACTCGGTTCCGTGACGTGGGAGATGATTGAGCCTACTGAGGGCCACTTTGACTTCTCGGAACTCGACAAGGTCATCCTTGGTGCGCGGAAGTACGACATGCATCTCGTCCTGCTGTGGTTCGGGAGCTTCAAGAACGCTATGAGCACTTATGTACCGCAATGGGTGAAGAAGGATGTTAAGAGGTTCCCACGTGTGCATATTGAGGACGCGCAGGGGAGTTTGAAGACTGTCGAGCTGATCTCACCTTTTAACGAAAGAGCTTGGGAAGCTGATGCGAAGGCCTTTGCTGCATTGATGCGGCACTTGAGGGAATCTGATCGAGAACACAGCACGGTCATCATGGTACAGGTTGAGAATGAGACTGGGTTGTTGGGTGATTCGAGGGATAGGTCGAGGATCGCGAATGACTTTTTCAGGCAGCCGGTGCCGGAGGAGTTATTGACTCATTTACAGCGAAAAGAGGAGCTCCATCCTCTATTCAAGAAGCGGTTCCCGGAGCTTCGCAATGCGACACCCGGAAAATCGACGTGGGAAGATGCCTTCGGTAGAGATTTGATCGATGCGGAAGAAATATTCATGGCGAACGCATTCTCTCGGTATGTCGGCATTGTTGCGGCGGCAGGCAAAGCAGAATATCAACTCCCGCTCTATACGAACGTATGGTTGAACTTCGACGATCCGAGCATCTTGGATCTCTCAGGCGTGCCGTTAGGCGAGGGCACACCGACTGTGGCAGGAGGAGGCGCCAAAGCAGGCGTCTACCCCAGCGGGGGCCCTTGTCCACATGCTTTCGATATATGGAAGTACAACGCGCCTGCCCTCGATTTCATTGCTCCGGATCTGTACCTACACGACTACGAAACTATCTGCCAGCAATATCGACACGGTAATCAGCCTCTGTTCATTCCAGAGCAGAAGAGGGATGATAAAGGGGCGCGCAGAGTATTCTTGGCGTACGGAAGCTATGGAGCAATCGGATGCTCACCGTTTGGTATCGATTCGTTGAGAGCGGAGGATACCCAACTCACGTACACGTATGGACTTCTCAAGTCTGTCAGCAAGCATATCCTTGAAGCACAGAGTAACCGCCCAGAGGATATCATGGGGTTCTTTTTCGACGAAGTCGACCAAGAGAAGAAGGGCAAAGAGCAGTGGACACGAGAGCTTGGAGAGTTCGAAGTTACCGTCGATCGCGCGTTTGTCTTTGGAAAGCCTGGTCCAGGAGCCGGAATGATCATTCATCAAGGCAACGGCAAGTTTATGTTGGTTGGAAAAGGGTTCCAAGTTACGTTCAAGAGCACAAATTCGAAGTCGACATTCACGGGCATCCTGCACTCAGAGGAGAAAACAGTCGATGAACATGGCGATTTGCATACTGCAAGAACAACGAATGGTGATGAGACCAGGAGTGGAGAGTTCTATATCATGCCGAACGACAACCCGGATTATGGTGGTTTCCCAATTGCGGTTACGATTCCGGCTAGGACGTGCATTGCGGAGTGCACGGCATACAGTGTTGAAGAAGCAGAGGACGATCTTTGAGATTGAAGCAGGGTTCAAGCGGTTTCGCATTTGCATAACGAAAGGTCTCGTACTGATGCGAAATCTCATGTAAGTTTCTCACACGTATACGGGTTTCTGAAGCAGGTCCCGCGATAGCGTCTGGCGTGAGACTCTAGTCTAGTAGGTATATAATACGTTAGAGGAATCGCTCGCCGCGCAAGCGTTTTGGGCGAGTAGCTCTACCTGTAGTAGCATCTTATTATACTCAATTGGACTTGCATATCATCCAAGACCAGAACTTATGACAGCGAAATACGGAGCGCAATTACCACAGCTCGGTTCGACGAAGCTCTTCCTCACCGAAGGTGGGATCGAGACTACACTTGTCTTCAAGAAGGGCGTCGATCTCCCAGACTTCTCCGCTCTTATCCTCCTCGACACAGTTGGCGGCAAAGAATCCCTCCGAGAGTGTTACGCGCCCTATATCGAGATCGCGGCGCGGCTAAAAACTGGCATTGTTCTAGAAACACCAACATGGCGAGGATCTAGTGCCTGGGCGGAAGCGTTGGCGATCAACGACGCCGATATATCGCGGTTGAACAGGGAAGCCGTAAAGTTTCTGCAGGAGTTACGCGACAAGTACGAATCTCCCACAACGCCTGTCGTGATCAGCGGGAACCTAGGACCTCTGTGCGACGCATGCAAGAGCTCGGCTGGACTGAGTATCGATTCCGCACGCGCATGCTACCGCACCCAAGTAGAGGCGCTATGCGAAGCCGGAGTGGACATGCTTAGCACATTGACCTTGAACAACACGACAGAGGCGATCGCGGCAGCACAACTTGCGAAGGAGAAATACATGCCGATAATGGTCTCTTTCTGCGTCGAAACAAACGGGCTGCTGCTGGAGGGCAAGTCTTTGGCCGGTGCTGTCACGCAGGTTGATAAGGCTACCGGTCAAGATGTGGTGTACTATGGCATCAACTGTGCTCATCCATTCCATTTTGAGCGAGTCTTGCGTGAAATGGATCAGACTGTCCGCCAGAGACTTGGAGACATCAGAGCGAATGCTAGTGTCAAGAGCCACGATGAGCTCGACAACAGTGATATACTGGATAGAGGGGATCCGGAAGGCTTGTCGATCTCATATGAACTATTGAAAGCGTTGCTTCCCGCCTTGAAGGTGGTTGGGGGATGCTGCGGCACAGATGAAGAGCATGCTGCACGAATTGGCTTGAAACTGATTGGCTAAACGTCGTGTCGAGAGGATACGAATATCTACCTGGTACAGATTGATACCGAACGCTTCAGCTAGAGACTCGGGTACGCTAAATAGCTAATAGGTGTACTTGAATCCTTCCTGGCCCTCAATCGGCTTCTTCAAAGTACCCCTGTCCAGCTGCCTGTTCCTGATGTAGAAGAACAATGTAGTGCAAGCGCAGGCGCAGAGGATAAAGAGCTGAAGACCAGCAGTCGCCCAAAGGCCGTTGACGTATCTTGGGGCGTCCTTCTCTCTGAATGAGGTCGAAGCAATGATGCCACCAATAGCTCCGAACCCAATCTGCAAAGCACTTCCAACGGATCTCTTCGACTGGAGACGGATGTTGTTCGATTGGTAGGCAAGGATTGCGGGAATGTTTCCTTGACATCCGGCCTGTCCAAGGAAGATGCCAAAGTACCGGACTCCGTTGTTTCTATGGTACGCGGTAAGCATGAGCCCGATGAGACAGATGGTCGATTGAGCTGCGATGATGGGTGCGCGTAGGTGGTAGTGGTCGGCTAGCCATGCGAAGCTGAACGCAACGATGACAGCGAAGACAACCGGGGGTGCGGACAAGAGATTGGCAACACCGGCGGTGTAGCCCATACCCTGCGATGGATCAGCTTTGCACGATTTGCGGTGGATTTCGGCTTCGCGCATACCCTGATGATAACCGGTGTGAAATATGCAAAGGCATACGCTGGCATTGTAGTGGACATGAAGAGCAAAGCGCTGCGAGTTGTTAGCAAGGCGCGCATAGATTCCAGATTGAGTTTGAATGAACATACAACGTCCAAAGCTTCCAATCTGTAAGGTGTTTGAAGAATTTGCCCCACGTCAATCCATCGGGAATGGCATCTCCTCTGTCATTCTCAATTCGCCTGGCGATGAATGCGGCCTCTGCGTGGTTCAAGAAGCCCTTCCTTTCCGCCTTGTCGGGGAAGTCGATGATGATGAACCAGGCAATAGTCGCGATAGTTACAGTCAGTAAGCCTTCGATGATCTATGCCTCGTCAGATAAGTCGCCCATTGCACTGTCTTCATTGGCTTACAAAGATCCACTGCCAGCCTCTTACGCCGGCTACGCCTTCCATTTGCATAAGGCCATAAGCCAGGATATTTGAGAACCCGCCGATGAGTGAAGAAGTGAGGTAAAAAGCCGCGAGACTTTGAGGGGTTAGCTCCATACCCTCCCGATGGCGTTGGCACACATACCGCTTTTGCACTTCATATCTCACGTACCAACACGAGACAAGATATACGCAGCCGGGGAAGAAACCTATGTTGAGTCAGCTGGACGCCAACAAATAGATTATCAGATTGTTCTACCAGCTTCAAAGGTACCGAGAAACCAACGACAGAGGGCGAGAGTCTTGTAGCTCTTGACAAACCCCTAGAGCAACCGTTCAACACGGAAGCCATTAATGAGCGGAGCGATTACACTCACCTGGCCAATCATAACAATACCCCATGAAAATGCAATGAATGAAAGCCAATTCGCGCTTCCAACTCGGCGAAGTAGGATGTTCGATGGAAGCTAAGAAGCGAGTTATTTTCAGAATCCAGTCATCAGGATGGCATCCAATGTTCACCTCGAAGAGGAAATACGGAGGAAAGAACATGACAAGCGCGATGGTGTACCGTGCTCCAATGCGCAGCCCCAAGTCCTGGTCCATACCAGCAACACGAGCATTGGAGATCTATGTCTCAATCAGCATGTGTCGCTCGAGATGAGGATGCGGTGCGCACGGCTTACATTGACACGGTCGATGAGCGCAATGGCATACAAAGCTCCCAGGATTGGCAACAGCCTCCAATCCACCTTGCGGATCAACTTGAGCTCGGCTTCTTTGTCAAAGTGAGGATCGACGTGGAAGTAGGACTCATTGCCTTCAATGTACTGTTCGATCTTCTGAACGGACATCTTACGGCCGCCCTCCAGACCGGTGGAGCCCACGGAGAGTCTCCGGTCAACATTGGAGAGCTTGCGATCACCGTCCATGTTGGCGAAGGGGTAGACTTTCAAGCTTCGTAAATGCGGAAGTTTGAGATGAAGTTGAGGAGTTCAAAATAAGGTACGATGATATGGAAGTTACCCGTGCTTCAGAATTGGGAATCCCGCAGCTGCAGCTCACGAAGGTCGGCCGTCCCAAAGAGCCCTTTTGTACAGCATCGCAGCGCGGCTGACGTCCTCCCCGCTGAAGGCCCAGACTCTCGGCAACCACGATATAAAGCTGGTAACGGCTGCACCCCGCATCTTGGCCGCTACGGACCTTGAAATCGCTAGTTGATCCTGGGATCGATATTTAGCCCTTACATATGGACTGTGGCAGCCGAGTCCCCCATCCTAGTGCAACTTCCACCTAGTGTGTCATCACAGCCAGTCCCGTCCCCACTGTTGTTGTCAGAGCCGATCTCGTCTGATTATATTACCACACACCTGTCTAGTGTCGGATCACCGGAGGCGACGAAGGCGGTATTATTGCTTCGATGCTAATTTCGAGGCGGAGAAAGAAGATGCGGTGATGGGCGGTGCTACAAGTATCTGTGGACGGGAGGCGGGCGGTCGACCAAAGAGCGCCAAACAGATTGCAGGCTCTCCGAGACCCTGGAACGAGATCATGCGCGCGGTGGGACACATGAGTGAGACTTGAGATCTCCGTTCGCTGGGGTTGAGACAGGCTTTCGCGGGCGGTGTCAAGGGTTATGGTGTCACGTGCATATTGAGTAACTTGTCACTTTGCGACCGTTGATGGTTGAAATAATATTACGTCAATCAAACGCCCATCGCGAATTGTGTCTGCAGATCCAGAAGTACTCCATTCTTCCTCAGCTGGTGGGCTTGCGAACCATGACATCCACCACTCACGGCTTCCACCTGAAGGCCGGGTGGCGCCAATCGAGATCTTGGATCGACTTGCTGTCTAGACCAGCGAGTTCCGCGTCAACATCTCTCCTCTCCCTCCGGTTGTTGTCGGCCTTCATCCAGAAAAGAAGAGCGATTGAGAGGATGAGAATAGTGCTTGACGTCGCAAGATTCATACCATTGCCGATGGGGTAGTTCGGACCATCGAACGGCAAGAATGCCCAGGTTGAAATCAAGCCACCGATATTGCCAAACATGACATTAGTACCAATTGCGGACGATCGTGCAGTGTCTGAGACGACATTCGCAGAGACTTGGGCATTACAGAGAGCTCCGTATGCGAAGGCTCCGCTGGTGATGAGGAAAGTGGCTCCGTATCTAACTTGGGCATTCGTGCTGGCGAGAAACAAGATGTATCCAATCATCATGAGCGGCGCAGAGAAGATGAAGAAGATATTGCGCTTGTCGAATCGCCAGCTCAGGAAGGGGAAGAAGACAGTGAAGAACCCGCCAACAATGTACGGAGGGACGGTGCGCAGCTGCTGGAAGATGACGGTGTTGCGGGGATAGATCGTCCTGACGATCGTGGGAAGGAAGAAGGCAAGACCTTGGACGGTGATGTTGTCAAGGAGGAAGATGACAGACGTGGCGATAGTGACGGGACTGAAGATGCCGCGGAGGGTCTTCGCTGTGTCGATTTTGTCCAGGACTTCGGTCGTGCCGATACGCTCTGACTTGACTCGAGCAATGGCGAGGTCCTTCTCCTCTTGAGACAACCACCTGGCCGTTTCCGGACGGTCCGTAAGGGTGATGAAAGAGATGAGAGAAAGACCAATCGTGATAATACCCTCGATGGCGAAGATCATTCTCCACCTGGTGAGGCTGCCGAAATGGGGAAGCTTTAAGATAGCGGAGGCCAAGAGACCGCCAAAGGCACCTGCAAGAGGGGCCATGACGATGTACAGTGATAACCGGAAAGCCAGCTCGCTTCTTCTGTACCACCGGGACATATAGTACGCGATTCCTGGTAGCATGCCTGCTTCAAAGATGCCTGGGTGCTGATGTGAGTAACGATACGCCACTGTGTTCAATGTCGTAATGCCACCTACCGAGGAGGAACCGGACGCCGCAAACGCCTTGTATGTTGGTGACGAAGGCGGTGCCAACGGAGCAGATGCCGAAACCTAGTGAAATGGCTGGGATGAACCACCCAGGGCCAATCCATTTGCAAGCCATGTTCGAAGGAATTTCGAATAGGATGTAGGAGATGTAGAAGACGGTCAGGACTTGATTGTAGTCGTAGCCTGTCAACTTGAGGTCGGCTTCGAGACCAGCAAGCCTGGCATTGCCTGTAGGAAGAAATGATAAGTTTACGCCGACTGTTCTCATCAACGGTAGCGCTTACCGATGTTGGCCCGGTCAATGAAGCAGAACAGATAGAGAAAAGAGACGGTAGGGATGATGTACAGGTCGATCTTCCAGCGCAGCTTGGCTTCGGCGGCTGGGTCGAAATGCACGAGTGCGTGTCCGTATCTGCGATGGCGGTGAGCGAGAGGACCACAAGAGCGGACGGTCGGGGACTTACTTGTCAGTCGCAGCATGACCTCTCTCTGCTGCCTCATGGAGATGTTCGTGGACCGACATGTTGCGGATAGGATCCGCCTTTCCATCGGCAAAGCCATTAGAAGAGCGTCTGTCGACCGGGTCGGACAGCTTCTCGCTGTCGTGGTAGTCTCCGACGGCCATGGTGTCTGAGAGGGAGGATGGGTACAAACGCGACGAACGACGACAGCTAGGAAGATAGGGAGATGGGGGTCGGCAGCCCTGTTATAGGAATTTGATGGACACGCCCAGACGCGTAAGGTGGTGGATGGGACGAATGGTGGTCGGGTAGTACCAGCGGGAGCTGAACACGGCTTTTTCTCCATGCGGGGACCCCACAGCCGCAAGGTCCAGCCGCCTGGTGGTTGGGCCGATCATTTCGACAAGGCCTCGGCAGCGAGCTTGGCTCACGCATTTCAACTCGTCCAAGGCGGCTTATGGCTTGCGATTCAGCAGGCTGCTGGATTCGGGAAATAGTCACGGCTGCTCTCAGTACACCCGGGTCGAACTCAAGGACGTTGCCTTGCTGCCTTGCTGTCTTGATGCCTCAGGCAGGACAGAGGTCTCCAGCCGTGACAGCCGCAACGGAACCGTGGAAGCGCCCGTGCCAAACGCCGTCGACAAGCTCTGACAGACGCTGTCTTACTTTGACATGCAGTCTGCAACCCACGCGGCGAGCACGACGCAGTGAAAGATTGTCCCGCATCTTCGGCCTCTCCACTCTGATGCTCTCAACTCATCTACCTTATCCATCCAAACTTCCAACCCCCATCATCTCCGCGCGTCGTCCCCCACGTGACATCCCCACGCGTTGTCCCCACTCGTCCTCCCCACTCGTCCTCCCGCACCACGGTCTTCGGAACCGTTTCCGCCCCAGGACCGTCGTGCTGGATTGTTATCCGCATTCAGGTTGCTTCAACCCAGCGTGCCAGCTTACCAGGTCCGATCAACTGCGAACCGGACACCTTGGCATACATGTAAGCTGAATATCAACCCAATTTTCTTACCATTCTTCATGCTTTTCACTCTCCTACGCAACCACACGCCCTTTTCCTCATAACGTAAACGTGGATGACCCTTCACTGCTTGCTTCTACGTATTCTTAGCCATAGATATTACGATTTCATAGTGGATCACGCCGAGAAATATATTCTGTAGAATCCTATATGTAAAGGAAAGATGTATAGTCACAACAAAAACAATAACTTTCACGTTCAAAATTAAACATCATCCAAACACTACAAGACACCTATTACCCACCTAGGTATTAAGCGGATCGATGTTGCTGCTTTGTTATAGTAATGGATCACGTTACCGGCTAAGCCGTGTCCGGATATCAGTTGAGCCAACCTCGTACGAGCCTCCTTCTTCCCGCCAAGTCGAGATGCTTCGCTAACCAGAAAAAATATGCCTTCATCGGAGGAGTGATGATACATTCCGTCGAATGGCAGTTTGCGCGTTCATGCGCTAGTCTAAGCCTGTCGGCTGCATAGGCCTTTGGACCATCAATGCGGAGCATCTTCCGACTTCCAGGAACGGCAATGCGCCTACCATTTGAATCCAGCCGCGCTCGTCTTCAAATTCAATCGGAGAAGACACGAGACTCGCGTACGGAATTCTGTATACGAATGAAGCGTAGAGCGCGACCAGGAAGCAGATGGGCATTAAGAGCAGCTGGAATGGCCCGGACGAGGTATTTCCCTGCTAGCTGCTGGACGCTGATATCCCATTCTTCATGTTGCGCGTGGAGTGCCCAGTTGTCGGTCTCAAGGCGCAGGCGTCGGGCTCTGTAGGCGAGGAGTATCGGCGGACAACTTTCATCTATGACGAGGATATCTAAGAAGAGTATGAACAGCATGCAAAACACGCAATCTCTCCGTGTAATTTTCGAGGCACCGGGGGGTTAAGCTAGCGGTGCTGGGGAAGACACATATATTCTGTCTACCTCCATCCAAAAAAGCTCTCGCAGGTCACCGCTCCGACAATCGGTCCGAGTACCGGTCCGCCTACGACAGCTATCGAATAGCACACCATAGCTACACCGCGGCTCTGTGAAGGCCGTAGACCTCCGGGCACACCGCTCGTGTTGGGGATTGGCGCGCTGCCGAACAAGCCACCGAAGAACCGAGTTGTCAGAACCGTCTGGATATCCTTCGCGATAGCAGTACCGAAAACGAAGACTGCGGACACAAAATATGGCATCAGCACTGCTGGTAAACGCCCGTAAACCTCGCTGAGTGGTGCCCACGACAGAGGCTCAACCCCGAAGTCGAACAGCATTAGATATACGTCGAGAGTCGAAAGCTCCAAGCTGACGTCGAATGCCTCTGCTATCAGATATGTTCCTGGAGCATAGACAGCGCTGCCCCACGTCACGTCCATGGTTATGAGGGCGTACAGCACAGTAGTAACGGCTTCATTTTTGAAGGTCCAGATGAGCGGCCTGTACGGATCATCGGGGCCGTCAAAATCCAGGATAAATCCCCGCTCCGGTGCCTAGGGATCCCTCGCATCGTGCGGGACGGGTCGCAACAAGGGTGGTGCGCCATGAAGTCGAAAAGAGCAACGAGTGCAGTTGTCTGCTCGTTCGCGTTAAGGTCTTATTGATCCAAAGTCCGATTCAGACGATTGAGATGGATAGACAACGCCATCGTACTGCAGCACAGGTTCATTTCCCATAGAGGTTCTGGCCAGAGCTGCTTGGACGGTTGGTCCAGATCGACTCCGAACCGACCTGAAGCTCCTTGAGAAGGCTGAGTACGAGTACCTACACGCAGACGCCACCTGCAGACTATCCATCGGACGTGTCCACAAGCTGTATCTACCTTTTATACGTAGACTGATTGAAAGGAAAAAGGTCTCGGACGGTGACTTTCAAGAGACAAATTAGATGGCAACGGCTGGGGACGGTCTGGCACCGGCGGTGTTTCCCTACCTCCTAGGTATAGACATCAAATACGCCCCCCAAACTGGTATCGTTGAGCGAAAAATAAAAGCAAGATATAGCCTTCTGCGGCTCCCTGACACCTCTGATCGCGCCTTGATTCACCTACACCTTTCCCGTAGTTCCTCGGAGGCCTGTACTTACTCAGGTAGTAGTGATTGTCCTTGTTGTTGGTGATGCGGTCCCTTGGAGGACTTATAAGCTTGGGCTTTGAGCTCTGGCGTAATTCTATAATATCTGAGAACGAACGGTTAAGCTACCTATCTAGGTACTTGGTCTTGATTGCGTGCAGTTGTCCTCCCGCACGCAAGATGCCCGGCTAGCTCACTGCGCCGCTTGTGGCTATGGAGCCTGTCTTTGCCAAATATGACTTGAATGTTGAAGCTGTTATGACCCTCTTTTTGAATCCAGCTACACATAGCACGCAAATCCAAAGCAGGAAGCGTCTGTACCTAGCAAGCTGTTTACATATTGATACATATACAGTACCGTAGGTGGGGTGCAGGGGATGACCCCTCCACTCTAGACGGCAAACACCGTGGTGTGTTGTCTCCCACAAAGCTGCAATGCCACCTGCTCAATCACGACCGCACACTGTGGGTGTCGCCTCCTTCGACCCAGATGCATTCTTTGATGCCTGGAGCAGCAATGCCTCCCTACCACAGAACAATGACTTCCGAACCAGTATCGTCAACGCATTCAACCTTAAGTCCGACGACGACTATGTCTACCACGCAACGGCCGCCGTGACGCTCGCGCAGGTGCAGACAGCCATCAACTATGGCGGCCAACGCGAGTTACACGCCTGGTACCGCGACGAAGAAGGCAGGCCCGTAAGCCCCCTATACCGTCATAGCCTCCGCTTTGCAGTTGAATCCAAACCACAGTCCATACCGACCTGACGCCCTGCCACACCACAGATCGCATCTCCACCCCCGGCCGACATAACAGCCTACACCAGCATCTTCTCTCCACACACCTCCACGCCCAAAGCCCTAACTGCCCTCCGCGCGAACGCGAAAAGGGACTCCCTCCGTGCCCGCATTGCCGTGCACCTAAGCGACACCTTCTACCTCCCCGCCACGCCCCTTCCCAGCACCAGCACGACCCTAACTCTCCCCCCGAAGCTCAAGCCCACAGACACCAAGGTCAAGAACCCTTACTATGATACATGGGCCTGGACATGCCAGACCCTCGAATGGGCAGGCCCGGAACCAGGCACAGAGAAGATCCACCAGAGCCACCACATCCTTCCCGTGCTGTACCATCACTTCGGCTGCGTGTGCCCGAGCCACGATGCCCTGGCGCTAATCGCACAGCTCACGACGTGCGCGCTGCCGACTGCCGCGGCGGTGCCCAAGGGCTCGCCAGGGAGGGAGGTCATCGAGATCGGCAGCGGGGGCGGGTACTGGACCTACATGCTGCGGCGACTGGGGATCACAGTGCAGGCAGTCGACAACGCGGCGAGTCGGTGGCGGACCACCTGGATAGGAGACACCATCATCGCGGATGGCGTGGGGTATCTGCGCCGCCACGACGGCGGGAAAGGCGCGATCTTGCTGCTGGTGTATCCGCAGGTCTCGGAGGATTTTACGGGGAAGGTGCTCAGGGCGTTCGAGGGGGATGTGGTCGTGGTGGCGGGGACGCAAAATCGGAACCGCTTTACGGGGTTTAGGGAGGAGGGGGTTGTGGAGTGGATTGGGAGGGAGAAGGGGGAGTTCGAAAGGGTCGCGCAGGTGCCGCTGCCGAGTTTTGCGGGGAAGGATGAGGCGTTGTTTGTGTTTGTCAGGGGGGTGGGGCAGGGCGGAGGCTGAGAGGATTAGGCACGGCCATAGAGAAAGCTTCTATAAAATTGCCCGGGATTGAGAGGTTGTTCCTTTTCGTCATGTTGGTACTCCGACAATCTATTCCAAAATGCTTTAACCGTCGTCGCGCGGACGCATGCTTTCTATGACTCTTCTCACCTTATGCAGAAAAGCAACCGTGAGCGGCTCAGGAGCCTGATTTTGCCCTTCCACAGCGGTTCATACGTGTCCGGCTTCATTCTCATAATTCGTCTTTCGCGTTCCCCATTCTAGGATTCATCACCTCACCACTTCGCCTCCTTCCTCGCCAAAAATCCATTCAACACCCCGACACACTTCTCGAGCCCCTGCAACCACGCCTCGAGCTCCTTCTCGACCTTCTGCTGGTCGCTCCCCAGCTTAGCGTAAAAGTCCTTCCGGTACGGCGTAGCGCTCATAGCGGCGCTGAAGATGGGCTTGATCATGAAGGAGTGATGCGGCTTGAGCGTCGCGGCGTAGGCGGTGCGGAAGGAGGCGGAGAGCTCGTCGGTGGGCTTGGAGAGATTTTGGCGTAGGGCTTGGGCTGTGAAGTCGAGGCCGCTGGGGGAGGGGTTAGTGGGGCTTGTGAGGCGGTGAGCGGAGTGGGAGGGGTGGGTTGCGTTGCTGAGGGTTCTGGGGGAAAAGGACTGGGCTGGAAGGAGAAGAAGGAGTACTCACCGATTCAACCACACCAGGCCCTCTGTAGCCGTGTGCTTCTTACTCTTAATCTCGTTCCGCACCAGCGCCTGCAGCGTCTGGCTCTCCCCCGGCGCCGCGAGCTGCCTGTCCCTGATCTTCTTGACATTCCCTAACATGTCGTTTTTCACAGGCGTAAAGGCCACCGAGCCCAGCACGTCGAACAGCGCGGTCAGCGACTCGGCCGCTTCCAGAAACTCGGAGGTTGGTATGGCATTGTCGTTGTTGCTGTCGATGGGCACGGAGGTGAAGGAGCGCTTGAGGGTGTCGAAGAAGGTGCTGTTCGGGGAGTGGGAGGTCGCCATGGTAGGGGTGGTGTATTGGAGCTTTAGTAGGTATATAGGCGCTGGTGGTGATAGAGCAAAGACAGAGGCGAGGGCCGAGTGGGATGAAATGTCAGGGACCAGCGAAGGTCTCAGTGGGTCTGTGCGATCGAGGGGTGTTTGTCGAAGTGTGGGGCAGCCTCTTCTGTGCCGCAGTCAGGCTGTTTACATACCTTAGATACCTATATTCGAGCACTGCGTTCAATGCTCGAGCAGAGTAGAATTCACTATAGAGCTACTTAGGTTCTGCTTCCTAGACTGTCCGTAGGTTTCCCTTATGCTGGCAGACTCAGCCCCTCGGGTTGCGCAACAATGTCCCCAGCTCCGCTCACCTCCGCACTTCTGTCCGCGGTGATCGATGCTCGGCCATATAACCCGCGTGTCCCGCCTGTTTCTTTGAATGCACCGCCTCAATCTACTAGAACACCGTTTCAATATGTCGTCCAACAACGTTGATACCCATGAGAAGCTCTTCCGCATCGCTTCGATCCCCGGTGATGGCATAGGAACCGAAGTCACAGAAGCAGCCATCCAAGTCTTACAGAAGCTCGCCGAAGTCGACGGGACATTCCATTTCGAGTTTGAGCACTTCGACTGGAGCAGTAAAAACTTTAAAGAGCGCGGATACTACATTCCCCTGGACGGCATAGACCAACTGAAAAAGTTCAATGCCATCCTCTTTGGCGCCGTTGGCTCGCCCGGTACGTGCTCGAAACCCCCCATTCCATCGTAGATTTCGACAAGCGTCGCACCCAAGTTGAGACGACTAACACAACGCGTCTGCCAGATGTACCCGACCACATCTCCCTCTGGGGCCTGATGCTCCCCCTCCGCAACTCCCTAACCCAGTACGTCAACGTCCGGCCCACCCGCATCCTGCGCGGCACCTCCTCTCCACTCCGGCCCGAAGTCTGCGGCCCCAAAGACCTAGACTGGGTCATCATCCGCGAGAACTCCGAGGGTGAATACAGCGGCCACGGCGGCACGACGCACGCGGCCTCCGGCAACGCCGTCGCGACAGAGGTGTCAATATTCACGCAGGTCGGAATCGAGAGGATCATGCGGTTTGCGTTCGATACGGCGATGTTGAGGCCTCGTAAGAAGCTGACGATGGTGACGAAGAGTAATGCGCAGCGCCACGGCATGGTGCTGTGGGACCAGATCTTCCATGAGGTCAAGAAGGACTATCCGGATGTCGAGACGGATAAGATGTTGGTCGATGCGATGACTGTGAGGATGACGCTGAAGCCGCAGACTTTGGACACCATCGTCGCGACGAATTTGCATGCGGATATCTTGAGTGATCTGGCTGCGGCGCTGAGCGGGAGTATCGGGATCGCGCCGTCAAGCAATCTAGATCCGACAAGGAAGCATCCTTCAATGTTCGAGCCAATCCACGGCAGCGCGCCAGACATCATGGGCAAGGGGATTGCGAACCCAGTAGGTGCGTTCTGGAGCGCTGCGGAGATGGTGAGATGGTTGGGAATGGAAGAGGTGGCGGACAAGCTGATGCAGTGTATTGAGAATGTTACGGAAGCCGGCCCTCGGACAAAGGACCTGGGAGGCAGTGCGAATACCAAGGAAGTAACCGAGGCGGTGTGTAGGGAGATCGAGAAGCAGCTGAAACGGTAGGCGCAGCAAGCGATCGAGGACAGATATGTCGAGATTGTTGCCCCTAGATTACAGGCAGTGCCCCAAAATTGTAGCGAGAATAGAATACCATTTATCGACTCTCAGACTGGAGAGGATGGGCCTGATCGAATATCCTCGACAGCAGGGCCTGATCCTCAAGCCATCCCGGGTTCCTACATCCTCCGGAACTCGGCTTCATAGAACGAGTCGGTGCCCCGGTAGCTTCAGTACGTCTGGGGTGTGGATATGGCAGCCCTGCATTGGACGACATCCTCACTCCCCAAGCGGATGCTCTCAGCCGTCCCATCCCGCAGGAAATCCGCCTACTCCTCCACCCTTGATGACCGTTGACCTGCTCTTGAACTTGTCCGATCCCACCCTTCCAATCCTCTCCCAGGGCTTGATTATGTATGCCGCTTTGCCAGTGACGAGCCCCAGTGAGATGGCGCCAAAGTCATTGCTGTCCTTGCTATTCCTCCAGTTGTCACCCTCTATCCAGATATGCCCATGTGGCACTGTCACCCTCGCAAAGGGAAACCTCTGCTGGCCCGACGCCCTGTCCTTGGGCACTACGGTATCGCCTGCTACAGCGATGACTCTCTTGACGCTGATCTTTTCTGGGTCGTGCGGCGTCCAGTAGCTCACGAGCTGGCCGCGCTCTACGTTCTTCCAGGGCTTCCACTTGCTGAAGAGTATCCAGTCTTTGGAGCCGGTGGTGTGGAAGTCGGGCGAGAGGGTGGGAGACATGGACTGGCCGGTAATGGGCTGGACTTCAAACAGGTAGTCGTTGGCTGCTACTACCAGTGCGACCCCAACTGCAGTATTCCATGCGAACCGACCTGGATGGCGAAACGAGCCGACGGTTTTGCTGATGAGGCGCCATGGCATGGTGGAACAGCAAAGATGTCGCCCCGTGTGGTGGAACTTCTTTCTATGCCGGCGTTGACGTCCTGCAGCAAAGCTCCGAAGCTCGAAAACCCTCGAAGCTCAAGCAAGCCGACGGAAGATGCCGCATTTTGTCATGCTGACAGATCAGCGTCCCGTTCCCCGTCAGCCACTGTTGCGTCGACTAAGCATTGCCAATTCTTAATAAACTGCCAAACCGCGCACTCGTAGGTCCTGGAGCTCTCTCGCTGCTCGTCTGTTTTCCTATATAAACACTTTGAGTTCCCCAAGAACTCGGTCCCATTGCATTTCATGAAAGAGTCAAATTCCACTTCTCCATCTACTACATCCAGTCTCAGCTCATTTTCCTCGACCAAAGCAATCGCGACTTTCGTAGCTCTCCTCGCAATCACATTGGCGCTCTTCTCTCCGCTCCGCACCACCATCCCCCGCCTCTTCACCAAAACCCCCTCCTCCCTCCGCACAATGGCGACCACCTCCACCAACGGCGCCTCCACCAACGGCACCTCCTCCCTCAAAATCACCAAGCGGCCCTGGAACGCCCGCGGCCACGCCGACCACGGCTGGCTCTACACCTACCACACCTTCTCCTTCGCCTCGTACCACGACCCGCGCTACTCGTCCTACGGCCCCCTTCGCGTCATCAACGAAGACCGGGTCGAGCGCGGCACGGGCTTCGGGACGCACGCGCACGCCGAGTTCCTCATCTGGTCGTACGTCGTCTCGGGCGAGCTCGAGCACAAGGACAGCATGGGCAACCTCGAGAAGCTGAGGCGCGGGGAGGTGCAGTTCACGAGCGCGGGCACGGGGATCAGGCATTCGGAGTACAATCGCAACACGGAGGAGGATGTGCATTTTCTGCAGATTTGGGCCAAGCCGCATACGAGGGGCTTGAAGCCGAGCTATTGCACCAGGAAGTTTGGGGACGAGGAGAAGAAGGACAAGCTGGTCAGAATTATGGAGGCTGTCGAGAGGCATTCGGGAGAGGAGGGGGAGAGTGTCCCGATTGCGCTGCATGCGGATTTGAGTATGGATGCTAGTATTCTAAGTCCGGGGAAGAAAGTTGAGCATGAGCTGGTGCAGGATGGCCGGAGGAACGTCTACCTGCATGTTGTTATGGGCGGCAAGACACAGCCAAAGGAAGGCGGAGCGAAGATCAGGGTGGGAGATGTGGAACTGGGAGAGGGCGACGGTGCGTTTGTCGACGGCGCAACCGGCCCCGGGAAGATTGTGGTGGAGAGTGTTGGGGATAAGCCGGCTGAGTTTCTGCTGTTTGATCTGGGCATGTAAGGTTGGATAGGAATCTTTAGGGTCACAGGCGATGCTGTAAAGAGTGATTTGCTGCCACGTATGGAGAGATCCGAAGGGACGATTCGTGCTGCGTAGGAAGTCCCGTGACAGGAGCTCGCTTCCCGTAGACGCGTCCAGTCCAGCGCGCGCCTCGTGCATGAACCCACGTGACAATGGTGCGTTGGTCAAGAGTGGACCTGTCGCAGCTACGACGCTCCATGCAAGGTACTCCGTACAGCCCGGGAAGCAGCTTCGAGGCTTTGCGAGCCGGAGGGTGAAGATCACAAGGGCGTCCGGGTGTCATCCAAGGGTTCTTCAAGGTTCATCCTTCAAGGTTCATCCTTCAAGTCCATCCTTCCAAGGTTCTCAGATCGAAGGCTGCACCACTTCAGTGACGTAGGGCTGTCTAGCTTTCCCCCCAAAGACCGTGTCATTGGAATCCCACCTTCTGAAGCTGACGCTGACGCTCAGGACTGGAAGTCCGAAGTCTGCAGCTGCAGCGTGTCGATACATACCTTGTTGTGTTATTCGAATGAGCTTCCAAGCGTATCCGACTACATTCAGCCCAGCCACGTGCAGCTCCAATCAAGATCTCCCCATGAAACATGTGGGGATTGCCCCGAAGTACGACCGTCGGACTGCATGCCCCCCTTCTTTCTTGTGAAGACCTGTGAAGACCTGTGAAGACCTGTGAAGACCTGTGAAGACAGCGCCCTGATCTGCCGCCCTACGCACTAAGTAGAGGATCTAACAGGGGAGAGATGATTTCCGGAGAGCCGTCGTGTGAGATGTGCTCACGGTACTTAACGTGCAGTCTGCCGTTGAATCACGTACCGATACCTTGCTCGCCTCCTCCGCTGTCGCCATGCTGACTTCCATCTTAGTGATTGCTGTTCTTGCAGCTGCCTTTCCCACCTCTCACGCACAGTCCTCGTCCTCTCCAGTGACCTCTACTGCCTGCAATGGCAAGCCCTATGTCTACCAAGAGCTTGCCGGCTATGGGTCCTTGCCGGGCAACGCACGCGATAAGTTCGGCGACACCTTGGGCGGGATAGGAAGCTCCATTGCGCTGGAGAGAGGCTCGTGGAGGAAGCGAGGACGGTCCTACGAAGGCATTATGTGGACGCTGCCCGATCGCGGTTGGAACACCGAAGGAACTTTGAACTACCAGACCCGGGTCCACCAGTTTAAGATCACTTTTACACCAAACACCAGCGCAACACTCAGCAATCCTGCGCCGCCAAACCTCCAGCTGCAGTACCTGGACAGCGTCGCATTCACTGGTCCCGACGGCGCCCCCGCCACTGGCCTCGACGCTGATGCAACCCGCTCCCTCTCTTACAACGGTTTCCCTCCCTTGCCCGCTGCCACCTACGAAGGAGATGGATTTGGGGATCCTGGGCCAGGTGGGAAGCGGATCTCCATGGATTGCGAGGGCCTCGTCCTAGGGAAGGATGGCTCAATCTGGGTTAGCGACGAGTACGGCCCATACATTTACAAGTTCAACCGCCGCGGCAGGATGGTCGCTGCTATCAGGCCGCCGGATGCTTTCATCCCACGGCGCAACGGCACTGAAATGTAATGAGCCTATACACTATCAGTCAGCCTCCAACCCTTCAAGGTACTGAGCAACCTGTGTAGCTTCAACTCCGATACTCCGCCTGTCTATGACCCGGAGCGGGAGATCATCCCCCAACTTCCCGAGAGCGGTCGAAACAACAACCAGGGCCTTGAAGGCATGACCGTGAGCCCCAACGGTGACACTCTCTACATCCTCATGCAGTCAGCCCTCATTCAGGATGGTGGCGCGACGAGCTCCAACCGCCGCTACACCCGCCTCCTCATCTACGACATCTCCGGTCGTCACCCAAGACAAATCGCCGAGCACGTAGTCCCACTTCCCACCTTCGCCTCTGGCTCCAGCACAAGGGTCGCCGCACAGTCTGAGATCCTGTACATCTCCAAAACGCAATTCCTCATCCTGGCGCGGGATTCCGGCGCCGGTCGCGGCCAGGACGAGTCGCTGTCCCTGTACCGCCACGCGGACGTGTTCGACATCTCGAACGCGACCAACGTGATGAGTGCGCAGTACGATGCGGTCAATGGGTCTATTGCTAGCGCTGCGGGCGTTTTGAGGGCCGGAATTGTCCCCGCGACCTACTGCAGTTTCCTCGATTTCAATAACAATGACCAGCTCGGTCGATTCGGACTGCACAACGGCGGCGAGCAGGACTCAGGGCTCTTGAACGAGAAGTGGGAGGGGCTGGCCCTGGCGCCTGTGGATGGGGCGGGTGGGAAGGATGGCGAGTATTTCCTGTTCTCGTTCTCGGATAATGACTTTATCACACAGGATGGTAAGTCACTTGCTTCCTGCGTCGCTTTTCGCCAGATTCGGCTGTGCGCTGCCATGGTCCCCATTTTGCTGACGGAACTGCACCGCAGGCTATATGAGAGGTGGGACTCTCCCGTATGCGGATAGCTCCGGCTTCAACCTCGACAACCAAGCTTTGGTGTTCAAGGTCAAGTTGCCCGTTTCACGATCGGGTGGGAACCAGCCGCACAAGTCGCGGTGATATGACTGTAGGATAAAATGAACGTTTTAGAGCGCGTAGTATCTGGCCACGGGAGTTCATCTAGAGCTTGCTTGTAATCTACTCAAAGCATCTAGTCACCTTTTGAAGAAATCAATTCAGAATCTTCTACGTTAAGCTAGATTCTGGCGTAATTGTGCAGTTCGTGTGCTACAGAAAGCTGCTATCCAGCCCATATTGTCTATGTACAATATCCCCACTTAGGACTGCTGGCTGTTTGCTTGCAAATCTTGCAGCACTCGTAGTTGTAATCGCATGCCCCTGGAGTAGTTGGTTTCGCATTAGCAAAATATCCCATATACTCACGCGAACATGCCATGCTATGTCTGCAGTGAAACACATGACGCGAGCCACTTGCTATCCAGGAAAGGAATGGGGTTAATGTAGTGAATCTTTGGGTTCAAGCATGGACTCGCCAGAGCCTTGGATTGCATGGTCAAGCTCGTTGCCAACGATGTCTTGGCAAAAGCGAATGAATGTGCGATGGGGGAGTGACTTACTGCCTCTTGGGAGTCGTGTGCACCGTCTCTCAACAAGCGGATTTGGATCGGCGTTGGCATCAGCGTCAGGAACTGCTAGAGGGCTGGAGACGACACGTTAGCATTGATTGCTTTTCGAACGTGTCTCCGTTTCAAGGGTTCTTCTTCGGAATGGATGGAGACGCGGAGTTATGAGGGTTGGTTATGGAGTAACATACCTTGCTACAGTCAGCGCCGACAGAGCGAGGAAGAAGAGGGTGAGCTTCATGGTGATTTCGGTTTGGGCAATGACTGGACTGGGCTAGGTGGGCTGGTGCTTAGACGACTACGGAGGCTATGGTTGACACTTCCGAGGTGAGGTCCAGGAAGAGAGAAAGAAGACTCTGAATATCGATCAAGAGAGCAGGTGCAGTTGCACTTCCTACCTTATATATCCCTCATCCTCGCTCACGTGGTTGGCTTGGAGATGGGAGCTACCTCGGGGAGAGGTCATTTTAGAACTGCAACATTCCCCTCATCTTGAAGTCTTGGACTTCTGCTGATTCGCAGTACACATGAGCACTACCGCATAGGATATACAAGCCGTTCTGGACTGATGTACAGTTGACTAGGTACCCCGGAAAACCTGTTCGACGTTCGCGTGGAGCTAATTCAACGGTAAGCGAACATGCAGTCAGCGGCCGGTGCGGCGAATATATCACCACACGTCGAACAACTCTTAAATGCTTGCAATAATTAACCTTTTGGTTGTCCTAAGACTTAATTGACTTTTCTCGCGCCAAAGGCAACGTGATATGAAGATCTCTTGCTGCAAACTCGTAATGTTTCGCAGAGCCTCAAGCCGACAGTCGCTTAATATAAACTAGCTCCTGTGTAGCTTCGAGAAATCGCTTTTTGCTACCGTATTTGGACATCGCTTATGCCGGTCATGGCGGTCAATCACCAAGTCCCGCACGCATCTTTACCTTCTATGGTCGAAGAGCCCGTTCACCCCTGTCTACCTGAGATTCACTAAGAAAGGGGACGCTCAAGTCCACCGCAAGCATAGCGAAACAACTGTCTCTCTCAGGCTGTGCCTCGGGAAGGTAACGTCCGCAGGGCCACTCGGATCGTAGCCCCAGCAAAGCTTCTCAACCTTCCCATCCGCACCCTCCATCAGGCCTTTGCGGGAGACGACATGGTGTTTAATGTTGAGAGTGGGCGGGCATCCTCGTGCGCCCCAGCTATAGTATCGTAAAGTCCACCGATGGAGACACAACTAAACATGTACTGCATGGGCGACAATCTCCAATAGCCGCGGCTGGAAGAGAGCAAGAATATATTCGAAGTCTATAGATACCGCTCTAGAGGATTTCCTACTACCCACTCCTCTTCGCCTCAGCCTCGGCCTCTCTCTCCTCAGCCTCAACCCTCTTCCTCTCCTCCTCCTTCTCAATCTGATCCGGCCTCCTGACCGCAATATCCTTCGGCCTGTAGTCACTGAATAGCCTCTTGAACACGTTCTCCACAATCCAGCACCCCACATAGTCAATGATCATCACACTCGTAAGCGTAACCTTGAACTCTGTAGAAAACGGCACAAGCTTCAACTTCTCGTTAATCTCCGGCACAAACTCCGTCGCGCAGCTGAACGCGACTCCCGTCACGAGCACAAGGCCCCAGTACATGCCCTTGTTCTCGCGGATGGACTCGCGGAAGGGCCGGCCTTGGTAGTTGATGGCGAAGGTGCTGATCTGCTGGATGAGCTGCAGGAGGTAGATGGCTGAGTTGAGCAGCGAGGGCTCGAACTCGCCTTCGAGGTCCACGTCCGGGTTCTTGGGCTCGGTGCGCTGCACGTAGCGAGAGATGTAGATTAGCGTCGCGATGTGGATGGCAAATTGGCCAAGCACGGAGCCGATGATGTAAGGGTTGAAGATATTGTGTTGGGGACGTTCTTTGGAGAGGCTTTCGACGGGCTGGAGGATGCTGTTAGCAGAGAGTTTCGATGGTGTGGAGTCAGGGAGTAGCTTACCTTGGCGCGAGAGATGGATAGGAAGCAGACGCTCATCATCATGCCGCTGATAGTCACTTGACCGTCGCCAAACTTGATGCCGTCCAGGTAGAGCACACTCAAACTGTAGGCGCTGATGAGGCAGTTCAGCGCGAGGATCTTGTACATCTGAATCGTTGCTACGAGAGTGCAGCGGCCTTGGCGGATGATGTTGGGAATGGCGACGACGTTGGCTAGCTTGCTGGTAAAGGGAGCGGCGACAGAGGCATCGCCAAGCTTGATCGTCGGAGGCTCGTTCTCGTCAAGTTCCGCATCCATCATCGACGATGTGAGCTTCTCGTTCAAGCCCTGCATCGTTTGCTGTGCCTTTTGTTGACGCAGCTCGCGCTGATTCTGTGGAGGCTGAGCTTGTTGTAAAGCTTGGCCGCCTTGCGCCTTGGGTGCTGGGGTACCATTTGCTTCCGGCTTGCCGTTCGCACTTACCGCTCCCCCTTTCGCCGCCTTCTTGTCAGCCTCACGCTGCATCGCTTTCTCGTAGTGCGGGTTGGTCGGACCAGGAGGATAGAGGTGGGCGATCATGACCGGAACCGGAGGAGTAGGCTGGTTGAATCGCTTCATCATGTTGCACTGCTTTTCATAAATCTCCTTCATCTTGGTGTTCCGGAAGTTTTCTGCAATTTTATCAAGGTCGTCTCGCGTTCCATTAAGCAGCGCAACACCGATGTGGGCTTGCTTCAAGGCACCCACGTCGTTGGTGCCGTCACCAGCCATGAGCGTAGTGTAGCCAGCGTCTCGGAGTCCGATCAAGATCTCTTCTTTCTGCTTCGGTGAGACGCGAGCGTAAACCCAAGTGTGGCGTATAAGGTCGCGCCAGGCTTGCTGGTCTTTGAACTTTGCCAATGCGTAACCAGTGACGCAAAGGTCTTTCATCCTCAGAATTTCTGCGTCCAGAGGTGCTGTCGGGTCGACCGGAATGTTGGTCTTGTAATCCGTGCTATGCCATACCAGATTATCTCCAGACTCGTCGTTTTCAGGAGCGTCCAGAATTAGGACATCCCTGTCAACAATCTCAACTTGCCGCGCGACGTGGACCGCTGTGAGCGAGTTGTCGCCGGTGATCATGATGACACGATGGCTGCTCTCGTTGAGCATGCGAACCGAGCTCTTAGCATCATCCTTGAGCGGTGTCTGTAGGACAAGAAACCCAGCGAAGGTCAGATCTTTCTCCACGTCTTCACGTTTAAGGTCATTTATCCTGGATTGCCCAAGTTCGGCCTCGGTGGACAGATACTTGTAAGCAAGGGCCAAGACACGGAAGCCATTTCTTGTAAAATACTTGAACGTCTCTTCATACTTCGGCGGCGTTTTGGTCAGCATCTTTCGGATCGTTTCAGGTGCGCCTTTGACACCAACGAACGTACTCCTGGTCTTCCTTTGTGTCTGCCTGTTGGTGGTCAACACTGTAGCAATGGAGCTTTGCCGTTTCAACGCAGACGAGAACTGGAACCGCCTCTTGATCTGCACTGTATCGGCATGGGTCGCATAGGCAGCTCCACTCGCGGCAGTGTTGGCCTTGCTTGTCAAGACATCATTGCGGCCCAAAGTCCACCCAAGAGAGACGAGCGTCGCTTTTTCCATAGGCTCGCCAACAATGTCGCCGTCTTCCAGTTTGACGAGTGCATGCGCGGTAGCAAGGGTGACGGCGGTCTCAGGGACGACATTTGCAAGCGGAGTGAGTTCGATCTGAGCGCCATCAGGTTCGGATTTGGCGTCGGCTTGGCCAAGTGAAAGACCAGCTATGCCATGAACGACGAGGTCCTCTCCAGTCAGAGTGCCTGTCTTATCAAAGCATGCTACGTCCACGCGCCCTGCGAAGGGGATACGGAATGGCTCGGTGCAGAAAATGGCGTACTTGCTGAGCGCAGCGAGACTGGTGTTCACTGCCAGACTGAGCTCCATCGGCAGCTCCGGAGGCACAACGCTGGTGATGATCAGGACGCAATCGAGCAGAAGCTTGGATCGCTTCCGGTCCCTGGCCACACCCTCCTGCCAGACGTACCACGAAGCGGCAATGGCGAAGATGAGGAGGAACAGGATGAAGAACAGCGCCTCGACGTTGTTCGCGGAAACACGTTCAGTCGAGTAGATCATGGTGCGGACGAGACTTCCTTGGCTAGTCTCGAAGCCTGTCTTGACAACTATAGCCATCGCGCCATGGTCGGGCGGAGGTGGTACACCGGAAGCCAATTGAGGCACAGTCTCAGGAGCGTCGTCGCTGGTTACTCCATGGGTGATTTGCAGGACCTTTGTACCGCCAAAGAGGAAGGAGTTCTTGTCGAGGCCTTCAGGCTCAATGTTCGCGTCTCTCGGCCGCAGTTGTATGGAGTCCTTGAGGACTGGCGTGCTTTCACCAGACAGCATAGCTTCGTTGACGATGGCAGTGCCTTCGACGAGTAACATGTCACAAGCGACGCCGCTGTCCTCCTTGGTCCGTCCCACGGACACCAGATCGCCAGGCAGCAGCTTGTCGCTTTGCGTCTCTTGCCATCTGTTCTCCCTATACACCCAGATATCATATGGTTTGATGCTCATGCCCCGGAACTCGTTCAGGGTCCGCTGCCGTTGCCAGACCACTGTACTTTCGAAGGCGACCAACATGAAGAGCGTGAACAGCGAATAGTACCAGTAGTCGTCCAGCATCCACAGCCCGACACAGAAGACCTGGAAGACGAAGAAGGGCGCAACGGCGTGCTCCTTGAAGAGCTCGGTGAAGGTAGGTACGGGAATGTCGAAGGCATTGTCGCCGTAGTGTTGCTGGAGTCTTTCGATATCGGCTGGCGAAGTCAAGCCGCGAGATTGCTGAAAGGTCTTGAGGAGGGGCTTGGGTTCTTGGTCTAGAGCGTATGCTAGCGGGGCAAAGGTGCCCTTCTCAGGATCGTACAGAAAGCGCCGCTTCTGGAAAAGGAACGACAGGCTTTGCTTTCCAGCTACGTTGTCACGCCTGAGCTGGCATATCTCTGGCTGGCCGGCGTTCGCCACAGGTATGACCTTGATGAGGGTTGCGCTGCGAACGTCCTTCGCCTTGGTGGCGGTGAAGAGCGATCTGAGGTTGACATTCCAGTGGGTCGATAGCCATATCAGCGACTGGGCGGTTACGATGCTTCCTGACCAGACAAAAGTCCATTCCTGACCGTTGATGTGCTTCTCATACCGTTCCGGGGAGAGGTAGAAGGCGAAGAAGATGGGCCATATTACGAGGAAGGGCCAGACGTAAGTGTGGAGGGTGAGCGGCAGAGGGTTGTGCAGCGATGCCGACTTGATCTGGTCATTCTCTACGAGCGGCATGGTGTGCGTGGTGTGCTATCCCATGAAGGAGGCGTGTGGGAACTTTTTCTCCTCCGTAGAGTCGAGGCGCTTGATGCAACATCGCCGACTCGCCGGAGCTGGGCCCCGAACTGCCGGGGGTGGATGGTGGATTCGATGGAGTTCCAAGCACCTTGATAGGGCACGTGACAGCACAGCTCTTTGACTCGCATCACAGAAGGGCTCCTTTGCTGAACCACATTAATTCCCTTGAAGCAGCCTGATCTTTGTCTTGAACTTGCAGTCAGCAGTGCACGGAGCTTTTAGTACACGCCTCCAAATCAACGCTAGAGAATAGCTCCCAGCTAGATTTCCTTCCGTCTTTGGTGAAGGCAAGGGACCACTGTAGTCAAGGGCCATTATCAAGTCTCTAGACCTCTTCAGTTCCTGTGTTGGATTTCCATCAAGCACGTATAAGCTCCGTCAGAGCCTCTACGAAAAAATCAATATGGCGTCGGAGGATCTTTCCACGGCGCCTGAAGAAGCCCCTAAGATATCGAAACGCGCTGCAGAGAAAGCGGCCAAAAAAGCCGAAAAGGCTAAGAAAAAGGCAGAAACAAAGGTTGAGAACGTCCCGCTCCGGCCCAAAAATGAGGCAAAGCCTGCCCAGCCCGCGAGTATGTTCGCCGAGGGCTGGCTCAAAAAGGTCTACGAAGAGAAGCCCGTACCAGTCCGTACACGGTTTCCCCCAGAACCCAATGGCTTCCTTCATATCGGTCATGCCAAAGCGATCACGGTCAACTTCGGCTTCGCTGAATACCATGGCGGGGTATGCTTCCTCCGATTCGACGATACAAACCCGGAGAAGGAGGACGAAATATTTTTCACTTCCATCATAGACATGGTCAAGTGGCTGGGTTTCAGACCGTACCAGATCACCTACAGCAGCGACAATTTCGACCGGCTGTACGAGCTTGCTGAAGAGCTTATCAGAAGAGACAAGGCATACGTCTGCCACTGCTCACAGGAAGAGACCAACAACCAGCGTGGTGGTCCCGACAACCGCGGGAAACGCTACGGCTGTGTGCACCGCGATCGACCAACTGAGGAATCTCTGACCGAATTTCGGGCCATGCGCGACGGCATATACGAGCCCCGAGAAGCATTCCTACGGATGAAGCAGAAGCTGACAGACCCGAGCGAAGGCAACCCCCAAATGTGGGACCTCCCAGCCTACCGCGTTGTCAAGAAAAGCCACCCCCGAACCGGCGACAAATGGCGCATCTATCCAACCTACGACTTCACACACTGCCTTTGCGACGCCTTCGAAGAAATCTCCCACTCCCTCTGCACAACCGAGTTCTACCTCTCGCGCACCTCCTACGACTGGCTCTGCGAAGCCCTCGACTTCAAGATCCCCGGCTCCGAGGCTAAAGGTCCTATGCAGCGCGAGTACGGCCGGCTCAACGTCGCCGGCACCATTCTTTCCAAGCGGCGCATCCAGATGCTCGTCGAGGGCTCTCTCAAACACAACATTCTCCCCGCCGTCCGCGGCTGGGACGACCCCCGCCTGTACACCCTTGTCGGTATCCGCCGGCGTGGCGTACCACCAGAGGCGCTCAAGACCTTCATCAGCGAGCTCGGCGTCACGGACGCGCTGACCAACATCGAAGTCACGCGCTTCGAGCAGACAGTGCGGCGGCACCTCGAGCAGACCGCGCCTCGACTTTCTCTGATCCTCGACCCCATCCTCGTCACTATTGAGGATCTACCCGAGGACTACTCAACCGAGCTATGCATACCTTTCCACCCCAAGAAACCCGACGGCGAAGCCAGAACCGTCACACTCAGCCGCAAGATCTACATCGACCGCTCCGACTTTCTCGAACAAGACGACTCGAATTTCTTCCGGCTGGCGCCGGACAAGACCGTCGGGCTCCTGAACGTGCCCTTCCTGATCCGATGCACCGGCTTCACGAAATCTGACTCCGGCGCCGTTGAGAGCATCCAGGCCGTCAAGGTCGAAGGGGGCGAGAAGCCCAAGGCTTACATCCACTGGGTTGACGCAACATCCTGCACGCCGGCGACAGCGCGGATCTACAACGCGCTGTTCCTATCGGACGAGCCGAATACGCTTGATTGGAAGGAAGGCGGGTGGGTCAAGTCGCTGAATCCGAACAGTGAGGCTGTGTATGAGAATGCTGTGGTTGAGAAAGCGGGGTTGGAGGAGCTCAAGAAGATGGAGAAGGGTGAGATGGTTCGGTTTCAGGGGCTCAGGACTGGGTATTTTTGTGTTGATGAGAAGGACTCGGAAGCCAAGGGGAAGGTTATGCTGAACCAGATCGTGAGTTTGAAGGAGGATACGAGCAAGACGAGGTAGATGACGGATCGCGAAGGGCACATTGTAGTCTTGTATGCGCTGAGGACATGGGGTTCTCTAGGATAGAATTGGAGGTGGGATTGTTTAACCTACGGTAATCACCTCAAAGACGACGATGAAGTATAGCTATACTCGTCCTTGATAGGCTTGAAGTCGGACACGGGTTAAAAGAGGGTTGCTTAGCCAATCGGACGGTTTACGAAGCCTGTTTTGACCCCAACCCGTACACACATGGCCAAGATTTACGGAAGTGGGTCCTGTCCAAGATGGCGTCTATTAGGACAAAGCCGGTGGCGGAGGGCCGCCTCATCAAGCGCGGTAACGCGTATGTCCAGCCTGGCCCTGGCGTCGTTGAAAAAGAGAAGCCTGGTTCGCCCGCTTCAAAGATTTCCTTGCGAAGATGCCGGACGATCTAGCCGATGACGTGAGAGCTGCCATGGTGCAGCAGATGGGCGATCCGTCCAAGATCGCTATACAAACCGTGCGGATAATCAAGCGTGAGAACTCGACCTAGCCACGGAGGGTGACGGCGCCGGTGGGCTTGTTATCTCATCATCGCTATGGCGAGGACGGTACCGAACGGTTGGGTCAGCTCAGTTGGAAATTATGTATCACTATCTCACAGTCATAAGCATTGTGCACATAATTCTATTCCCTCTATCCCAAGTCAATCCGCATGCAAACCTTCCCACGAGAAGTTCTAACTAACCTCTCGACGTCACTACCCTTTCAGCCCCTCCAGCGCCGCCTCCAACTTCTCCCACCCCTTACTCCCCTCCCACCGATCTCTCCCCCGACTCTTAATCCCCCTAACTGCACTCCTAGCCTTAAACCTCCAATCCCTCGCCACCACCTCCCCACTTCCCGCAGCCAACCCCTCGGTCCTCTCCCTTGGTCCCAGACTCTCATACACATCCACCAGCTCGACCGTCGCGTCCACCACCTCCTCCCACGCCTTCTCACTCCCCGACTCCCATCCGGGCTGATTCGTCACGGTGCGCCACGCCTTCTCATGCGCCTCAAGCGCCGCAGCGGGCTTGTTCCGCCAGAGCTGCAGGCGCGCGACGATCTGCCAGAGACGCCTGCTACTCGTGATTAGCGGAACCATGTCCTTTTCCACCAGCTCGATAACCATGCGCTGGATGCCCCGTTTATTCTCATCATAAACGCCGCCGGACTCAGCGATGATGTGGCGGACGAGGTTATCTAAAATGGAGGCATCGACGCCTTTCTCGCCGTCGGTGTTGCCGCGCAGGTCGATGATGCGTTTCTGGGCGCGCACGATGTCGGCGTAGGAGGGCGGGGAGAGAGTGGCCGCGACGGTGAGGAAGTTGAACCAGATGCGGTAGTTGTCGTAGCTGAGTGCTGCGGCGCGCTTGAGGGCTGCGAGGGCGTCGCGGGTGTGTTGTTGGGGGTCTATGCTCCTCTCTGCCAAGGTATATGGAGCGTCTTCGTCTTCGTCGTCGAGCGTAGAATCTGGCGCTGTGGTTTCAGTAGAGGGGGAAGGGGGCTCCAGGTTCAGAAGCGCTGCTGCGAGGTTGCTCCACGCTTCCGCATCGGTATCGTCGAGCTGGACGGCGCGGGTGAAAGCCTCGACGGCCCGAGGGAACTGCTGGAGTTCGAGGAGGGCGCAGCCAAGGGCGAACCAGGAGGAATGGTTCAGACTGTTCACTGTGAGAGATTTGCCGTAGGCATGAGCGGCTTTGGCATAGTCCTTGATGGCGAAGTAGTGCCGGCCAAGGGATCTCTGGGCACGAGCGTAGCGGTTGTTAGAGACTTCCCAGGCTTTCTCGTACATGGCGGGATCATGGCCGATATCACCAAGGATGCAGTAAAGGCGGGGCGCATCTGCAGGTGGCGGGTCCCTTGGCTTACCGTTCCAGTCCTCTGCTTCGGGGTCGACGGCTTCGTCGTCTCCAGCGGCGGAGTGGAACAGTTGCCTCCGGATTATCTTCTTAGCTTTGTCTTCGCGCTCGGTAGCGGCCCAGCACAGCGCTGCCTCAGCCCACATCTCGAGCCGCTCGTATATCTCGAGTGCAGAGCGCAGACCGCCTAGCGACACCCAACGAGACGCCAGCTCAGATTCGAGTTCCCAGCGCGTCGGTGAATTCAACGCAAAGACATAGCGTAGCCGTTCGCTGACCGAGGCGGATTCTGACTCCTTGGCTTTTGGGAGGAATGTGGTTGCGGTTGCAGAGTTCTCGGATTTCGAGGACGAGTTCTCCGGAGTGGTTTCGGCGATAACTTGGTCGACCAACGCTTGGAGCTGGAGAAGGCCACGCTCGATGGTGCGGGATCTGTAGCCCTCGATACGGCTGCGGACGAGCAGCGCTTGGGTATAGACCTGCCAGTTGGAGCTGCCACCTTCCAACACGCGCGTAGCGTATGGCAGAGTCTCCTCCCGGGTCAAGCCATGAGCTGGGGATGTGTTGGTGATTGAGGACGCCAGGGATAGCAGGATGGCCGAGTCCAACGGATCGAGCATGGGCTGGTTCGAAGGATCGACGGATGACAGTGAGGGAGGTAATGTGGATTCACTCTGTATGTCGGTGGAAGTCTCAGATCTTTTGGAGAAAGAGATCGATTCTAGCAGAGTATCGTCGTTCAAGTCGAGGTTCTGTGGCCGCGCTGGCGCAGGTGCATCGCAATCTGGCGAGGCATCAGTTGTCGCCTGACCTTTGGTCTCATAGTCAACCGAACTGCCATTGGTCTGTCCGTCCGCTGCATCGGCGCTTCGGGCCAACACTACTAGCTGGCTAATATCTTTCTCTTGATATCTGGTCCTCTTCCCGAGAAGGCCTGTCAATGCATACTGGAAGCGTCGCTCACTTGCTGCTTGCTCCAGATCCGCCCGTGCCTTCTTATCGAAGCCGTGATGGGTGTGGATGGCGGCTCGTTCCAGTAAGAAGGTAGTACGGATGTCCAAGTTCTCAGTTGTGGGTTCTCTACGCAGGAGCTCCTCCTCAAGCTCTGCCAGGTCCCCGTATAGTGATGTCTGCAGTGACGGCGCGAACTCTGATAATAGCCGCTGGTGCAAAAAGTCGACCCGTAACTTCGCCCATCGCGCGGCTTGGACGTTCTTCGGTACGGGCGGACAGGTGATGATAGCGTCCGCCAGGCAGAACAACTCGACATTTGGGATTAGCTTATACGCCGCTTCTCCGTCGACACCCAGAGACGATACGAGTGTCCTCATTATCTTAGAAAGAGCTTTTGAGTCCGAAACCTGCGGTAACAGCACGCTGGCCGATGAGAACGGAAGCGGCGGGCCCGTGACATTAGACTGTATGAAAGCTAACAACGACGCAAGACCGGTGATGAAGAAGATATGCTGGAGATACAATGGAGAATCATGACTTTTATCCTGTAATTAATTATGTCAGTGCTGCAGTGCTAAAGATATGATCGTGAATCTCCGCGGCCTCTACGATGTTAAATTGAGACTGTGGTCTAGTCTGAGTAGTCCATTTAGCCTATGAGAATGGATTTTAGGCACGTTTCCCCATGGCGTGGAGCGATTTTATAGTATCTGCTGGGGCTCCGACACACACTGCTGGAGCGCTTCGAGAAAGGATGAGAAAATATTTTTGACACCTACACCTAATCCACCATCCCGCCTCGTACTGAGCAAAGCCCCTAAGCGACGAAAAACATAGTCACTCCACACAGGAAAGTCCTCGAGTCTTATGTCTTTGGTATCCTCGTCTTCCCTGTGGCCGAGAAGAACCTGCACCAAAGGATGCTGAAAGATCGCATGGAAATCCCCTCGCTCAAGGAGTTCCAAATGCTCTTTCAAAGAAACCGCAAGTTCCTCTGGTAGGGTACTGCGGAAATACTTTAGGAGTGCTTCTGCCATCGTTGCTGCGATTATGTGTTTCTGAGGTGGTTAGGTGGTTGCGGAAGTCGCGGAACATTTTTCTCGCTTGAGGGTTTTTCTGGAGCACGCTTCTTCGTTTTCAACCACATCGAAAGAGAGACATCTTGTCCAGTAAGATTTGGCCAGCACAGTTTTGTGCACATGTTAAGATCGTGTTAGAACATCCGTAACACTGCGGAGCTGTGCCGCTCAGCACTGTGTCCGAATCACTTCACGTACGAGGACGCGAATACAACAGCTTGTTAGGCAGGCTGGGCATCATGCATTCATTCGCCTTATCCGAAGAGGTTATTCAGGAGCTACAGAAAGAACGGGGCTAGCAAAAAAGGTATGCTCGCGGCACATAGGGATATCATAAAATTATCAGCCGGCCATACCACCACCACGGAGCGCAGATCATCCACATCCAAAGTCCAACCCAACCGCCCTAGCCCCCGGATATCAAGACCGACAACCACATCCCCACCGTAAAAGCCGCCATGAACAACCCCTTCGTGCCCGTCCCTAAGTCAGAACATGCCCCAAAAGTCAGCCGAGTTCACAGACGGCACGCCGAGCGCGATACCCGCGAGCATCAAGCCGAGCGCAAAACCAGGGAACCCTGTGCCACGTATCCAGGTTAGCTCCCAAAAGACAACAGCAGAAATACGGGGAAGCTTTTGCAAGCTAGTCCGAGTCGCTACTACTACTGCTGGAGCTCACGCCGCGGCTGCGGCTGCGCGAGCGGTGCTTGCGGTGTTTCTTGTGGCCGCCGCCGTGCGAGGAGGCGCCGTAGAGGCCGCCCATTGCTGCGGAGCCGGCCGAGAGGTGCGAAGTGCTGCTGCTGCCGGTGTAGTGGGAGCTGCCGCCGTGATGGGAGGAGTATTCGGAGCTGCCGCTATGCTTCTTGTGCTTCTTGTCTTTCTTCTTTCTGTTGGTCGAGCGCAGTCAGCCAGCTGTCTCTACAGCAGCGAGTCACTCATGGCGGGTAACCACACGAGGCTGATGGGATAGAAAACTCACTTATCATGCTTATCGTCGAGCGCGTTAGCTGCCACAGCACCTGCGACGAGTCCTCCGAGCGTCCCGAGCACACCGCCACCGAGTTTGTGCCCGACAAACGCGCCGCCAGCACTTCCGATCAGCGTAGACCCGAGGCCTCGATCGCCGTCGGCCGCGCCACCAGGAGCGCCTTGGTCGTAGTGTCCGCCATGCTGACCGTACTGGCCTTGCTGGTAGTTCTGGTCGCGGTAACCTTGGTCGGGGTAGGAAGGTGCGCCGTAGCCCTGCTGAGGCGGTTGGTAGGGAGGCTGGTTGTGGCTGTCGTACGGCGCTACCGCAGTGGAAGAGTAGTCATGTTGGACGTAGCCTGAGGGTTGTGGGTAGCCGCCTTGTTGCGGAGGCTGGTAACCGCCTGGCTGGTAGGGTGAGTGGGTAGGTGGGGGGTATTGCGCCTGCGCGAGAGGTCAGCTACCTGCTGTATACTGCAGACAAGGTGGATTAGATGGGCGCGCGCGTACCTGCGGAGGCGCATACTGGCCTGAGCCGCCATATTGGTCGTGCCCGCCATATGAAGGTTGGGGAGGCCCGCCGAAGTCCTGCGGATTGTAGCCGTATCCGCCTTGGGGTTGGTGCGGATAACCACCTCCGCCGTAGGGGCCTTGGCCAGACATGCTGGGAATATGTATGAGGTAGAGGATAGAGAGCTGCGAACGAAGGTATTGCGGAGTCCAACAACAAGCGGGGAGGTTGAGAGAGTCCAACGGTTTCGGATGAACTGTCGCAGGTGTTGAGGAAAGCGCGAGTGGGATTTCGAGACCGTAAGGTACGAGGGCGGTCGTTATATCGAGGCCACGACAACACGAGGAATAGTTACTCTAGGCAACGGCCACACCGATGGCTGGAGGAGGTGAACAGTGGTTGCGGCGGAGCACTCTTCGTACCCTTTACCCGTCGCGCTGCTGATCGTGACCCCACGGCGGGGCATCATTCGACCGCAGGGCTGTGCACCGCCCTGTGGCACAGCTGGCCGTCCGTCCATACTCTTTACATACCTAACTTCACCGCTGCCGCTTCGCCCCCTCACGGTACCCATAGCGACACTCTACCACGCAATATCAGTTCACTCAATCACATCTCCGCTTTCTCTTGGGCCGCCCATGACCTCCACCTAAGCCGGCTCACTGCGTACTGAACTTCCTTGCATTGTGGCTATGTTTGGTGTTGATAAGGGCAAGGACACCATTCGGGCCTCCTCGCTGCGGCAGTACTTTGTATTCCATCTAATCTTACTGTTGCTTCTGCGTCCTACCATATACGTGACAGCCTGAGAAGATCTTCATGAATCTGCGCGTAGTAGGAATTTGTCGGACGCTTGAACCAGGCGTATAGCTTCGTGGCAGCCGCTTGAGAAACAACTAAACACCCGCCTCTGCCCACTGCCCACGATCCAAGCCCGTACTTAAGAGCCATAAGAGTTATCCTGAGTCAGATGGCAGAGAACACCGGCTCGCGGGATGGAAAAATAGAGTGCCCTAGTGAGTCTGACGAGGACTCTGAGTCTGAGGATTTGTTGCAAAGATCATCTTCTGTTTTAGATGTACCACTGGGGGAGGGCTACGACCGATGGCACGAGGTTATGTATGGAGAAATGTCCGATATGTTTTGTAGCGTCTGCTTGAAGATGTTCAGAGAGATCGACGGTTATGACTTCGACGGTCCTGACTCTGAAGATCATTCTCCGTCGCGCCCTCATCACCCGAAAGTTGCAAGCTTTCGACATTCTCCCGAAGCAGGCTGTAGAGTATGCTCTACGGTCTGGATGTACTGGAAGAGCATTGCGCAAGGGTTGCCCCCAGGTGTGAACGCTCAAATGGGATCCACCACTTACGCAATAAAGTGTGGCGATGAAGTCCTATCAATTTCACTCGAGAGAGAACCAAAGCTAGACACGCCAGAGGAGTTCTGGTTCGTCATGGCAGACGGTGAGCGATCGTCACCCGATTCGCTTATGGGAATCCGCGCTGACTTCATGTAGACATAAACAGCGTGATTGAGCATGGCCTCAGCGATCATACAGGCTCGATACAGACCCTGGAGCTGGCAGCGAGGTGGCTTAATGAATGTATCCAGAAACACAATAGATGCGCTGCAGCCCGAGAAGCCCCATCTTATCCCACTAGGCTCCTTTTCTTAGGAGACGAGGACGAAAGCGGCAATTCGCAGATGAAGCTACACTGTCCCGAGGACCTAGAACCTGGCCATCCGTACGCAACGTTGAGCCATTGCTGGGGAACCACCAAACCACTACAGCTGCTGACATGCAACTTGGACGCGCTCCGCAAGGATATCCCGCTGAGATCTTTGCCGAAGACTTTTCAAGATGCAGTCCGGATTGCAAGGCATCTCGATTTGACTTACATTTGGATCGATTCCTTGTGCATAGTCCAAGACTCGCGAGAGGACTGGGAAAGGGAGGCCGCCCGGATGGAAGCTGTGTACAGGAATTCCGCCTGTAATATAGCTGCTGCTGATGCTAGTAATGGCACCGAAGGATGTTTATATCCTCGAAACCCTCGCTGGATTGTACCGGTAAAAATCCCGGTGCGTGGAACATCCCGAAGGTCTCCAAAGTATCTCGCCAATCAAACAAATCTCTTCTCCAGCCATACGCTATACAGCAGAGGATGGGTACTGCAAGAGCTGCTCCTCGCACCGCGAACGCTAAATTGCGGTAAGGCTCAGCTGTTCTGGGACTGCCAGGAGTTGCACGCTTCGGAGATCTTACTTGAAGGGAGATCAGACTCGTCCTGGTCGAACGGGCATCCCGCATCGAGGTTTCTGCGCTATTCCTCGAAGACCGGAGAACACGTATTGAGTGCCTCATTAATCGAAGAGACCCTAACCGCCAGTTTTCTTGCTGGACACAGCTTCGCTGTCCCTACGATACACGCCAATGAAGCTTTCAGCCACTGGGCTAGTGTGGTTGGAGCGTACACGGCTATGAACCTGACGAAGCCTGACGACAAATTCGTGGCTTTGTCTGGTATCGTCTCTATCTTCCGAAGGTATCTTGGGGAGTATCTCGCGGGCCTCTGGCGCATATGGCTGCCGTGCGAGTTGCTTTGGTGCACCTCTGAACCCGCATCCCGACCAGACACGTACCGCGCTCCATCTTGGTCGTGGGCTTCGACAAATAGTAGAGTTACCTACGCCTTCTGTTCTATGAGCGCAAGATACGCCTTTCTGGCCGATGTCATCGACGTCTGTGTCACTTACGATAACCATCACAAGTCCAGCCTGGTAACTGGCGCGGAGCTTCGCCTCAAGGGCAAGCTTGCCCGAGCAAGCTGGTCACGCATCCCAGGCAGAGAATATCGTCACAACCTCATGAACTCACACGACCTCAGCGACAGCCCAGAATCGTCGCCGGGGCGGTGCGCAATAGTATATTTCGACGAACACGTGGAAGATCAGGATCGATCGCCAGACATATGGAGCCTGCCTATCGGATGCCGGCGTAGAGGAGATACTGCGACATATGGGCTCGTCCTCGACAAGGTGGATGAGCGGACTTTCAGGCGTGTAGGCATATTCCGGGATTCTAATGGCTGTCTCGCGTCCAGGTTCGAAAGGCTGCCGCGGACCGTAGTTACTATCATATGAACCTTGCGTCGATGTAATATTAGTTCTGGCACACAATGCGAGGACATCTGAAGTTTCCCTCGGATTACACTCCCGCCAGGAGGATCGCTGTCGCCGTTCCGCAACCTCACAATCAAGGACGAAGGTGTGCGAGGGTTCCATAAGTTGGATGGAGTGAGGTTGTCAGGCTGAAGCTTTTCCTCCGTCCAAATTTTGGCGTTGGACTTGAAAAGGGGTTCTCCGATGGAAGTGGACTCTGTGTACTCAAGCGGTGCTTAGGAAGGCATGTCGGGGTGCATTGCGCTTTTCAGCTCGATATGTCCAATAATGTCAATCGCCGTCGCTTGAGCTTCTGTGGGTTGACAAAGCGGGTGACCGTGGCTATAGACTGTGAGGCATATGGGAGTGGACCGGGCATTGACAGAAGTGGCTAGGCTTGTTCGGTGGCTCCGGAGTGGCAGGCAGTGGCTATCACCAGTCTCGGCACGGTCGTGAAGCCGTTTTGATAGGGTCATGGTCCCGTCAGTCTGAAGATCTGTGGAGGACTTTGTCGCCTCGCCTCGCCTCAGGACTACACGGGGTCGTCTTGGTCTGAATTCGCACACCCCATAATGACGGGGTGTTTGATGCTGGGGATGACATGTGTCCTGTTATAGTGCCCACGTAACGATTCCGGTAATTGTACGTACGTTGGCTGTCCGTCTTTACTTGCGGTACGAAGATCCGGTCTATGTCTTCGGACCTTTGAGAAGATTTCGTCGTCTGCGTAGCCCGTACCGTATGATCAGTAAAAGGCAAAGGCCAAGCGTAGAACACCAGTATACCTGACGGAAAATATGTGCGGGCGTGTGACCTACGTCTTTACTTCTGAGCTTGACGACTTGCTGCAGCCGACATTCACTGTTTGTTCAGTCCATTGAATCCGTGCTGCGCTGATGTCTTTAAAAATCTGGTGGCTTTGCCCGTCAGTGCACAGAAATGTCGGAGGCGATGTGCCAGCTACTCGTGGGCGGTGGAAGAATGACGGTATCGGCCGCTTGACGTGTCGACAGCAACTATCGACCGGAGGGACAAAGGGCTGCTGGTCTCGCATGAGCCGGACTTGTAGTAAGGTGTGCGCGAATAGGTAAACAGTAGTCTACCGTCTCGTGATGGAATATCGGTTGTTGTATGTCTGTAAGAGCTTCCTGAGGAGCGGCTCGGCCATACTAATCTCTTGACGGCGCTGTTAGTAAACCTAATACTGCATGCTATTCCGAGATTGTTTGGGCGTGTCGAAGCGTACCATGCATGCTTTGTACCAGCGCTGCGCTTTGTCGTGGGATTTAGCGGTGGTTTACAATGCATTGTTATGAACTAACAAGCGAGATGGCATGTGCTCCGGTGTAGAGGGACTCTCATTTCTGCTTGCTGATTGCTCTCTGCCGGTATCTGGTACATAAGACGACGTGGGATAGCATGGAAGAACGTCCGCAGGCTACTCAGAGGCTTGGAAATCAAACGAAGTTGTGATTGAATGGAACATCGTCCATAACCACGGGCATTGAAAGAGCCAAGATTCTGAGTTTGCTGCAGAACATTGTCCTTGAACTCGACAGCGCCTCCTGCAATCTGCCCCGACCTGAAAGAAGTGTTCGGCCAAAATATCGGCCACTCATTTCACTTACGACTCGAACTCGACGCTCGAGCAGGCGAGGGACAACCTGTAGACCCCGATTCTGACGCACAGTGCAACCAACTTTTAATACTCTGCCCTCACGCGATTACAGCACATCTCGTGGTTCCTTCGAATTCTTTGCTTCTTCTCGCCCGATCGCCGCAGTTTCCTATTGCAAGGTTACCCCATAAATAGACAACAAACACTTGCGCAATCCTATAGTCAAAGCGACTCCAACAGTTGTCAACCAACCGTATCGTTCAGACGAATCGTGAGTACCCAAGCCCTCGTGCGATACCGAATAGCACTTTTCAACTGTCGGAAAGTTAAGACTGGCTGACAGGATGGCGACTTCGTAGAGAAGTAGAACCTCCTTACGTCTTCCTTCCAGGATGGCTATTCCGCCAGCTCGAGACACCCTTGCCGCGATGGGTATCCGATACCCATTGGTCGAGCTGGACTACGTCCTTGACATTTCGGAGATGCGTAAGAGTTTTCAACCTCCATTTCGTCTCGGTAGAGGTACTGATTGACACTCGAATGCCATTAGATTGGACTGCCACAACAGACCTTCTCCTGCAACACATCCGCGGCCACATTATGCAGCCACACCAGGTGTAAGTTCTGTCATGTCCGGGTAAAACTGCAGCTGACAGCCAGCGCTGCAGGATGCCAGTTCCTGGACAATCACCAGCGTCCGTTGAATTCCACCAAAGCTTTGACAATGAAAATGACGAAGATTCTCTGCCATTCAGCCCGATTGTCCAGACGGCCGATGCCAACCGATGAAGGATACGCAACGACGGGCCGTGGGGCCTCAGAATTGAGCATTGCATGACCTGCGAGAGTCATGAGCGCCATTGCGCGCACACATTTCCTTGCTTGTCATGTCAAACATTGGGTCTGCACTGTGTCGGACTCATTGTATACCTCGACGACGACAGCACGGAATTCGCCGACTTCGTAGACGCTTGGATTGGCTTCCGGAGGACTCACAACCTGCCGATGGGAGATTGGACCAGTCCTGTACCGCGTCCGTTGGGATGGCATGCGTCGAGTGCAGCACAGGATGCTGCGCAAGATGCGCAAGACCAGGCCGCTCCGCTTCAGGGTCCAGTCCAAGCACAAGCGGCTCAGTCTCAAGCTCTCGTGGCTGCTGGCTTTGTTGCCGCTCCTACCGTCGCCGGACGGTCAATCCCGATCTTGACGAATCTGCTGCCCGTAGCCACAGCCAAGGGAGTCGTGAATACCGTCCCAGGTTCTCCAGACCGCTGGGTAGCCCCGCCGCAGTGCTACATGACGGCAATTGAGATCCTGACGGTAGGTATAGATGGCCCCTTCTCCTTAAACCTGTTACTAAGTACCGTACACAGTACTTCCCCGAGTGGCTAAACTGGCCGGAGTGTCTCATGCGGTTCGTAGATGCAGGTTGGGAACAGGTAGAAATGTCCAAATACGTAGTAAGACAGCGACTGTGTGGATCAGCTCAAATGAACCTCACTAAGATGCTCGCAGTTGTGGTGCCGCGGACTTCCAAAGTCTCGTGTCACCAATTACAGGACGGCGTTGTGGCATCGAGCTAAGAGGGCACGCCCGGTTCGGGCCAGAAAGGCTGGTTTCAACACGGCCAGCTGGAACGTCTTGCCCACGAGACTTTCCATGAACAGTCTGACAGATTACCGCCTCGCAGACGTTGTTCAGAACGTGGTCCACCATCCGCCGGCGGCTGAACAGGGCGAATTCTGGCGTTGCTTGAACCATCAGCAGTCGAATGCCGGGCTCGACCTTCGCCTGTCGGATATACCTGCGCTGCTCCAGGCGCACCCGGAATGGCGGTCGCCTGCCCCGGCACCAGGGGCCAACCCAGATGGCGATGCGCTGGCACGATGGAGATTAAACCCCGGTCACAGAACCATGTGATGATAGCCAGATGCTGCAAGTGTATTATCCGAGCTCCTTACGCCACCTCAGTTGTTACCGTGTACCATCTAGGCTTACAACCCATCCCCTACAGCCTATACGCATTGCAGTTGTCTTCTCAATTCCATTTTGTTTGCTCGCATTATGTTCTTCGGCACTCGAACCGTTTCGTGCGCCTTGCTCAGGCCGCGTGTAGTCAGGAGCGTGCGCCCCGGCCTTTGAGCTGTTGTCTCTTGTATTCGTAGCTTTTGCGTTAGTTCTTTCGTGGTTGGCTGTATATTCGCCGGTCTTATGCAACCAAGGTGTTGAAGAAGCGTATACACAGCGACACCGCTACTCCTTTGCTTTAAGCAGATTAGCTATGGTCGTCTGCCGGAGTTCCCGTCGTCGCTTTATATGTCGTTTGGTATGGAGAGGTTGTGGTCGGCCGCGGGACCTGAGGTCCTACCTAGGCTTCTAGAGGCTTGAATGGCGTCGGCATAGTCGTGGTTGCTCTCTTCGCCTTTTTGATAGCTTTTCCTAGTCAATTGACAGCTTTCTGGTGTTCGCTTCATGCAATTCTCTTGCGGTGTCGTGAGGTTTGACGGTTGACGTTGATCAGCCACTCGGAGAGCTCCGTACGACGTCCCTGACCCTTGGCACGCCTCTCAGAACGAGTAAGACTCCAACCACGACCACATGCACATTATGGGAATCCTATGAAAGCTCAGCAGCAAGCCTGATGCGAAAACCATATCATCGTTACGCTTGTTCTACGAAGAGGCTGAAGCCACTACGAAAGGATAGCGACATACAAAGCCTTGCGCGCAGGCAACCGAGAAAACTACCTTCTGGTCCGTTTTGACAACCCGAATAAAGAAGGCAGCCAACATCGCATGAACCCAGTGCTCCCTTCAACAGAAAAGGAGTCATCCCTGCGCCTCTCCACTACAGAACGAAACGTATCTTGTGTACGGCGGACGCTCCTGAAGCCATGCTAAACACGGGCGCCTGCTGCAGTCCGGTCCAGCCTATCATAACTCCATTGAGAGCTTCCTCAGATCGTGATCGCACGGTTCCAACTCTCCGGGAGCAATAGGTACTAACCGCAGATGCAAATCCAGGCGAAGAGCTCTCTCGCTGTTTCTTGAACTCCAGCTTTAAAACTCGTTTATTCTAGAGCAAACACCTCACCAGCGTTGACGTGTTTGACGGAAGCTGTAGACGGTGCGATGTTGCAAACGTTTAGAAATCCCACATCAATACAAGTTCGGACTATCTAAGCCGGGGAATTTTGACTAGGCTGCTAAAGTGCTATTTAGATCGGTAAGACCCCTCTCTAGCGTTTCCAACGCGATACACGGCAGGGTCGGCGTGCTTATGACTAGGGGTTTGCAACACTATGCCGTTCACAACTACCCGTCAAGCACGTTTCCACTAACGGTAGATGCCTTCTCGACTCACCAGCTCATGGTACGAGCCTCGGGAATACGGCTGCCGGATACCCAACAGGGTCACATATATCACCATGGTCGAAAGGAGGAACACCATGGGTACAAGCAAGTCACCTTTCGAAGATAGAATTTGAGCACGTATGAGTATTTCCTACTGGGTATGCTGGCATCAAAGCAAGAGGTCAACACCTTTTCAACGCGCCGTTATCCCTGAAGTTTTGGGTATCTCTCGACCTCTTCTCGGTAAGCGGTGACTTCATGCGACTCTCAATACCGGCGGAAGCTTCTGATTCGGAGTCGCCCCCAGCATCCGCATACAACCAGAAGACTCGCCTGCCCTTTGGACGCTTTACTTATACTTCGTACTGCACAAGTAATCAAAGGTGTCAGACAATGCCAGCGGAAGAGACACAGACGCAGCCATCCCTAAACGCCAAGGAAACACAACTCATCGCTCAAGAATCAGTCAGCTGTGAAAGCAAGGATACAGATCCTTCTCGTGCCTCGAGCATACCCAACCTTTTTGCCACCTTGGGAAACGGAGGCTCTAGCGCGGAGCGGCAGCCGCATATCAGTTGGTTGAGGCCTGTTGTTGTCTCAGCCTGGCTTTCTGGCCATACCTTCGGACTCCCATCCGTGTCACGGCGTCATCATCCTCATTCACACCCGTGTGAGGACCGGAGATATTGGGTAGACGCTGCGCCAACTGGGGTACGTCGTCCGGGTACATCAGATTCTCCTCCGGATGAGCCTGAGCATAGAGAACGCAAGGCGTGATGACCCACGCATCCCGACCTGAGGGGAACTTCGTGACACCTCTGCCGAGATCAGCGAGCGGGATCTGGGCCAGGTCCGGATTTGGTTGAAAGTGGCCAACGTTGTAGTTGAAGCTCGTCGGCTCTTGGGTACTGCTCCACTGTTTCCACTGTGCGCCGTGTTTTTCCCTCATTCTGGCCTCAATCATCTTCAAGATTGTATTCGCATAGACCTGGTTGTCTCCACTCAGGCCTCGAGACTGGTTGATGGCTTTGGCGACGGCAGTCGGTGTCACCTGGTTACGTTGGAAGCGGCCTGCACAGTCCAAGAGCTTGTAGGCGTGCGGATGGAAAGTGCAGATCTCGACTAGGCTCATGTCGACAGGGGCTATTGCCAGTCCTTGGCCCCAAGCTCCGGCGGCGGTAAGGACGTCGTAGCCACGGCCACCCGGTCCCCGGCGTTTTTTGGTGGGGCTGGCCTCTTCCTCTTCATCTTCCTCATCTTCGTCGTTGACCTCGCTCCTAGCGCGTTTCAGTGGGGTTCCGCGTGTCGCTTGTTTCGTCCTTTTTGATGGCGATCTCTTCGAAGCTCCGAGTTTCTTTGCCGTAGATGAACGAAGGCCTTGCTCATCTTTATAGCCACTGCCATTCGTACCACTGCTCCACCCTCCATATTCCGAGCCCGACTCTGCATCGCCATTCTGTTCTTCCTCATCTTCGTCAACGACTCCTTGCTCCTTCGTCTTGGCCGACAAGGCCTGCTTCTCTGCAGCCTTTCTCCTGGGCCGCTGTCGCGGTGTTGCAGGTTGTGGGTCGTGAGTGGTATGGTCCTCTTCTTCAGCCGAGACCTTGTAGGGAGTCGCTTCTAGAGTCGCTTCTGGGGCTTCCGCGAGACGAGTGCAGATCTCATCACCGTCGTACCATTCCCAGGCGTGCAATGGCATCTGCATCATCCGTTGGTACGCACAGAATCCCCTCCGAGGCGCAATGACCGCAACCCGACATATCTTCAGCGCAGTCGCATATCGTCCGGCCAGCTTTGTGGCAGTTGACGCACGATATCACCCTCGTGATCCGCGATTCGGCGTCGAGGCACATCATCTTGCCCTCTTCATCGGTGACCCAGAGGCCCCTATAGCCCGGCTTCTCAATGATGGTGGGCACGTACGATGCCGGGAAGGCGAAGATGTTTCTCCCTTCGTAGCTTGGATCAGCTATGTGGAAGGCGACTGGAAACCTCTTGTTCCTCTCGGCTGGCTGCGCTGGCCATGCGCGTGCCATGAACCGTTCTTCGACGTCTTGGTGTCTGGCTGCCAGGCTTTCGGCTGGCTCGCTGGAAAGCATGCTCATCGCTTCGCGGATCCTGTCCATATTGCGCGTCTGAATGGAAGATTCTTCCGTCGGCTGGAGATGGCTAATCGGATTGATACAGGCGCAATGGATATTGAGATATCGTATTGCTGAAGGTAGCAAAAAGCTGGGAAGGCACGTGGGGTGTAAAGTGGTTGCTGTGTGGCAGAGTTGAGATTGTAGAAGAGAAGAGTTTAAGGACAACCAAGCTCGGACCTCAAGGACTATCAGATGGACACGACAGCCGCGGTGAAGGTTAACGGCTGACACCGGCTACCGAGTACGTGAATGGCCATTACCCTGTCCTTGGACATTGAAAGAAACCGTAGCAATGGATCACGTGGCTCAATTGTTCAGGAACAACCAAGGGCGGCATTGTCCGCGTAGTAACTCCTTTGTCGTTCTCTTCCAATCCGCTTAATCTCCTATACGTTGTCCTTAGAGCGGAGTTATGCTGGGGTTGAGTCTATAGCTCTGGCGTTCAGGCTAATCTGTTTCGATTTCCAGCAGTGGCATCTCCAACACGCGGTCCGGACCGATCGTGTCATATCTATACACCGCCAGTGTCTTGCAGACTCTGCACAATTTCTAGATGAAGATTGCACCCAATATACTGGCGAATTACAAGCGATTGTGCCGTTACTACCATGTGTCATATTGGCTCGATATTTTTCTCGTGCTTTGGTATACAGTCAGGCCTTCCTTAAGGCGAGCTCAAACTTATGCGAATTTATAGATCCGGAATTATAACGATATACTAGACTTATGAAGAACTATCGCGAGCAGCCATGGCGTGGCATTACAGGAACCCGCTGTATTTATGCTGCTGATGATGTCCCTTTCGTTTTACATCTACACAATCCGCTTGCCCCAGGAGCACGCCGATGCGCAGTGTATCACAAACTTGTAGGCGCTTGTATCGCGCACGCTGCTTGTAAAGTCTGTGATCAGCAGTTCCGTCATGTCAGTTCATCATTTGCGACAGCAGAAGCTCGCCGACAGCAGGCATTGAGACATGAAATATGCGCCATCTTCTAGACTCAGCATCGAAAGATAGGCATTTAATTAACTAGGATAGGACATATTAATGTAATTCGAAGCTACAGAAGCCCAGACGAGGACAACGGCCTCTCAATGAAGTCACCACGCTCAGACTGATGCCGCGCCCCAGACGCCTCAGCGCACCACGCCCCGAACCCCTCACTTCTCCCCACCATGCGTAATCCTCACCTCCTCCGCCTGCTGCAGCCGCTCAATCTCCGTCCTAATCGCCAGCACCCAATGATCCCTCTCCGCGCGACTCCGTGCCTTAAACACGATACTCCTGCCCGGCACCCCTAACGAGCTCACGAACCTGAACCCGCTTCTCCTGCCCTCGCCCTCGACGCCCTCGCTCCCACTCCCGCTCGCGTCGCCGCGGCGGAATAAGCTCCGCCGCCGGCCGTGCCACACGACGAAGCACGTCATGACGTCCTCGTCTGTGCTGGTCCAGCCGTCTTCGAGATAGATGCGCGGCAGAGCCGTATGGCCCGGCTTGTTGCTGTCGAAGGTCCTGTTCTGGTAGAGCAAGTCGTTCTCGGTCAAGAGGCCGGAGTAGAGGTAGCAGTCCGTCAGGTCGAGCGACGCGATGCGCTCGTGGTGGATATGCAATATCTCCTTCCCCGTCGCCGTGCGGAGGGAGTCCTGAAAGATAAGCAAGCGGCCAGATGACAGGATGACGGAGCACCGTGTGAAGGTGCTATGGCGTCGGGGCTTGCGATATAGAATCCCGGACATGTGGATGGTGCGGCAGCAGGAGATGCCGCACATGTGGTAGAGCTCGGGGGAGGCGTGGGACTTGGTGACTTCCCATTTGCGTGCGAACTGGCCGACGTGGGCTTCAGTTTCTTCGTCGATGCCGAGGTCTTCGAGGTTGCGGCGCCGCGTAGACTTGAAGAGTTGGATGTCGGCGGCTGTGCGGTGTTTCCAGTATTTGATTAGGTCACGCAGGCGCTTCTTCCATTCCTTCTTAGTCTCTTCGTCGTAGGCCTGTTTTGACAGTCAGCTATATCATCGATGATAGAAATGGGAAGAGATCAACTTGCCTGAAGTCGAATGACGAGGCCATTGCGCATGACCAACTCGAAGGTGCGATGATCGTCAAACTCTTTGACTGTGCCGTCATCGCGGTTGCTATCCGGCACTTCAGCGTCGAAGTCGACTTCATCGCCTTCGTCCACATTGCGATCAGCGGGTGTTGCGCCGCGGAAAACGTGCCGAACCTTGACGATGTTACACAGATTGACGTAGCCGTCGCAGTTGAGAAGGATCTCGGCCTTGCGCTGTGCCTCATCATACGCATCCTGGTCGTGGTGTCTCTGATCTTTGAGAGATTCCGAGTGACCTCCTTTCAGCCAGGAGATCTGCCCATCTTCAACCGGGTATGGGTTGACGGCGTAGATGATAGGGATCCCCTCAGAGATCTGATGCGCGGTAGGTACTTGCGAGTTCTCCGTCATTGGCATATCTGGCGCTGGCGGTGGCGTAGCCTTCCCCGGCTTTGAGAAGACCAGGTATTGGTTGTGAGTTGAGAAATACAGCCGCTTGAAGAAAAGCCTACCCATGCGCTGAGAGTCGCCTTTCTGGGAAGTCAACCGTACCAGGAAGCCTTCGACCGGAGGGGGCTCTATCAAGGCATGGTCTTTGTGATCACGAGTCTTGGTGGGATAGTGTGACTTCGGCCGGAGTTCTAGCTCGTGAGACTTTTGCATGGCGATCGTGCCGTACATCTTCCGCTCATTCGCACCATGTATCCACTCGAGACGGTCGTATCTCTTCCATACCAAGCCAATGCGCTCGTTCTTTGCCCAGGCTCCAATAATGTCGTGCCACTCCTTGGACTTTTCCAGCATCTCAATCGATCGCTTGATGACGTTGCCCGCCACGGCCTCTTCTTCTCGCATCGTCTTCTCAATGGCTTCCTCATTGCCTTCCGCGGCTTGGGCGATATCTCGCGAGGCTTCAAGCTGTGCGAATGGGTCGTCCAGCCGTAGACTGACGCTTAGATCGGGTATATTAACCTGGAGTTCAGAGGCCCGATGCCAGCCGAGAATGTTGCGCAGGAAGGTATACCACTCCACAGCGCTGGCAGCGGAGTGTGGTTGTATGATGTAGATAGCTGTGCCCTTCCGCCAAGGCACCCACACGACGATGGTTTTGTCCAGTGAAGAGAAAAGATTAACACCCGTCAGCCTACGGCTGAGCGGTAGCTCATGCTTGGAGCGCTTCTTGTCACTTCGGATCCGCTCGATTTCCGGAATGACTCGAGTGTCGTACATCTGAAGCGTGAACTCAACGTCCTCGTCCGCGCTCTCTCTACAGACAACCATGTATTCTCGCCATTTTTCGTTGGTTCGATACTCGATCTTCTGGCTATCGTTTTCATCGTAGTCATCTGGAACCTGGGTCATGGTCGTATCCATTCGGACAAGCATCTTCTCCATCTTGATGATTTGTCCATCCCTGATCTGGCTTCTTCCTCGTATCTTTGCTGATGCCCGTCGGGCTCTCATCTGGGTTAAGCGCGCCTTTGCTTGCAACTCGGCACGGACAGTGCCCTCCGGCTCGTTGAACCGTACCAACCCGCGAGCTTGAGCTGGGGAGGGTGCTGTCACTGCATCGTTACCGGTGGCGTCTGCGTTGGCATCTGAAGTCTTTGGACTTCGAGTAATCTTAGACAAGAGTTTCTTGGTTCCCGATGTTTCATCCTGTGTCTCATTGGTCGGCTTCAGAGTTTGGTCGTCATTCGGAATGAGCAGCGAAGTGGAGCGGTTTGCGCCAGCGGGGAGGCCTGGACCTCCGCTTGGTGTGCCAAAGCTGTTTTCGGCTGTGGATGTTCTGGGCTGTGTAGATGCAGCAGCCGATGCATCACCTTCGTCAACACTCAGAGTCGGTTGTATCGCCGTATCGGGTTGCCCATTGTCGTCCTCCTGCATCCTTGTCGGGCTCACCTCCCTTGGCAGGCTTTCCCTGGCTGTTACGTATGAATCACTCGTGGACTTTCTCCGTGGTCTTGTTAGGCCCTTAGCAGACTTCGATCGGCTCTTGCTACCCGGTTGGGACCCCGAGCCCGATGCCTTACGGCGTTCCACGTGCTGTGTCGAGCTGTTGGGGAGACCTGATGCTACGCCGTCCTCCAAAACCCGATTATCCGGGTTCGAAGCTCGAGGAACAGAGATTCCGGATGCCAGTGGTGTCGCTGCATCCTCGTTCGCCGTTTCATAGCTGTCCTGAGTCTCCTCCTCTCGCAGTTCCCGCGGCTGTGGAAAGCTGCGTCCGTAGACTGCTGATGCACTTGGGCCTTCGAGGCCGGTGAGGCGGCGTTGGCGGGAGGCATGCGCGGCAGAGAACGATGCGGTGCGAGAGGAGTAGTTGATGTGGAGGTGGTGCCTGTACCATTCGCGTCGATGGCTCTTCAGCCAGCCTTCCGGTATAGGCCCTATGAAGCATCGCCGTGTGGTGAGGTAGAGGTGTTCTGGGGTGGCATGTTGCTGGATTATCGGTCAGTCAGGTACAAAAAGGCGGCGTTGGAGCTTTTATACCAGTCGGTGCGCTGTGTAGGAGTTTGGCCCAAGGTCAGGAAGACTATATTGCTGGGGAGACGCGGAGACGCTGGGCCGGATTTCTGCGCTCATCAGAGCTGCTGGTAGTGCTTTGGAGAAAGTTGAGTTTGTGAGAAGGGCGCAATTGCAATATTAACATTACTATTCTACAACTACATACATGAAGGTAATGGGAAAGAGCGTGGTCGTGTTTGGTCGAATTGCGTGTGGCGGTTGAGGCAGGCAGCTCTCCGCCCGAGATTGCTAAAGGTCCGGGGGTTGGGTCGAGAACAGGAAGGGGAAACCGAGGCGCCAAGGCATCCTCGAGCATTCCATGGGCAAGCAGTAGATTGCCCTTTGAACCAACACGCCGTTCAGCTTTGTGAGGCTCTCAATATCAGGTGATAGACATGTACAGACACACTATAAAACTTGTATAAAATCAACAGTACATCCTAAGCTCTCATCTTTTTCACCCATCACTGCCCATTCATCTCCCCCTTCAATCCAAGCAGCAGCTCCTTCAACTCGCTCAACTCCGCCCTCAACTTCTTAACCTCCACCAGCGCCCCGTCTTCTGCAACGTTCGGCGCCGTCTCCTCGACCTTTTTCGTCCATCCCTCCGCCTCCATATCAATCTCCCCCGTCATCTGCTCCCACTCCTCAATCTCATCATCATCCTCCTCCTTCCTCATGCGATTACTCTTGACCCTCTGCGCCTGGCGAGCTTCGAGGCCCGCCGTAACTAGCAGCAGGGGCGAATACAGCACCGTCATGACGATGTCGTTGAGGTGCTCGTACTGCGCCTTGGACATCCACCACTCGAACGGAAGCACGAGGCAGAAGAGCTCGATGAGGTTGAAGGGCGCGATGAAGACGTTCTCGTCTGGCGCGCGCACGAACTGCATCGTCTTTTGCGAGAAGAGCGCCATGTACTCGTCGATGGCGTTGTCGGTGATGTCTTCGTAGGCGGAATTGTAGAGCGCGATGAGGATGTTGAGGAGGATGACCATTATGACGAAAGTGTAGATGTAATAGAGGATCATTCCGAAGGGGGGCTGGGGGTCTGTTAGTCTGCTGTTCTCTGGAACGGTCGGATCAGGTACTTACTGCGTAGTTGTCAAAGCCGTCAAGATCTGGACTCTGCATGACGGCGTTGATCATGGCCTGGATGATGAACCCGGTCGCAGTGAGGTTGTTGTCAACCTGGTCCATGCCAATGAAAGCTTGAAGGAAGCCAATCAAGACGAAGAAGAGCAGCGCAAAGAAGATCAACGATTCCCTCATCATGACCTTGATGACTACTATCATAGCGCCAAAGAACCGGAAAGCGTCAAGGTATAGAAGAAGGCGCCCCCAAAACATCGGCGCACTGAAGGCAAGGAAGTTGTACGAGAGTTCGTTGAAGTGAGCGCGCTTCGGGTCGCCAGGGTTGTGGCCTAGCGCAATCATCCTCGTGATGAAGCTGGTCGTCAAAAGCGCGTAGAGGGTGCTGTTGAACATGTTCCAGAAACTGATATAAAACCAACCAACCTTCCAGAACTTGTTCGCCTCATCTAGGATGAAACCTAGGGTAAAGATGTATAGCAGGCCTTCGATAGGATCCAGATCACCTGATGGATTAATCGAGTTGATGGCGCCAGTATACAGAGCCAGAAAGATGAAAGAGAACGCCATCTGCACAGCGTTCTGATACTGAGGAACCCTCATTCTGTCTGGATCAAAATGCACCCAGTAGCGCGTATCAACCTTCTTCTTGTAGTCCACAAACCGGCTGGGGTCATCGTCGTCCTGCACGAGCCATCCGCGCCAGAGGTAGGCTATGCACTTCTGGTACCCTGAGCTTCCAATGACCTGCAAAGCATGGAGATCCACGGCTCTTTCTATCGCATTGGCTGGCAGCGTGTCCTCGTTGTCGACAAATAACGAGTACCGCTTCAGCAGGACATCCTCCAGCAGGTAGACCATGTCCTCCTCCGACTCGATGATGCGCTTCGCAATCATCTCCGCAGCCATTGCACGCACGTTATGCAGGTCCGCGTCCCACAGCTCCAGCGTGGCCTGCCTCCTGAACCATTTCTTCACAATCAGGAGACAGTACACCACACATGACTTATACTCTTCTCCACCCGCACTCTTCGCGGTTTTGATCACCGCCTCGGTGATTATGGGGCTATGCGCGGCCGTAATCTTTGCTTCGTCGAGCTCGCAGGGCACGACAGTCTCGATCTGGTGCTTGAGGCGTAGTGCGACCTTCGTGACTTCCTTTGCGGGTAAGGGGGAGGCCACCATATCGTCTCGTCGAGTCGGTAGCAGGTGCTCGACTTCATCGCGGAAGCCGCGTCGGTCATTGTCGTCGAGACCGATGAGTTTCCCCCATCGCACCATGGCTGGCGCTCGGTGGAGCTTGCAGGAGGGATTAAGGGTCTAGGGGTCTTGGTCGTGTGGCCGCTTCGAGGGAGGATGTTGAACCAATGCAGTTACCAGAGCTGGTCCTGCGTCTCCTGAGCTCTGAATGCAATTGAAGATGGTTTCGTACGGGGATGGTAGGTTTCCTGCGAGTTTGTCCTCTCCGCCGCGAAACTGGGAAGTGGGAAGTGGAAAGTGGAGAGCTTGGCGGCCAAAGCTCCGCGGATGTCAACGGCAGACTCTGTTAGATGGAGCTGTCTAAACTCCTTTTGCATAAGAGTATGGCATATTGCATTCGTCAATGGCGAGTGTTAGTCAGGACGCGAGTGTAAGAGATCCTTCATTCGGGTCTTGATGCTCTTAAGCGGAGGTGTAAGCATTATCAACGTAATCCTAGCCGCGCCGCTTACTGGGAATTTATAAAGAGCTCCTTTAAACATGTTGCGCTCTTCATAGTCGTTGGAGTCCCTACCAAAGTATCTCATAGGATCATTTTGTGACCCGTTTCCATGCCCGTACGCCTCGATGCAGCACGCTAAAGACTAGGAGTGGCCTCATCACAGTCTAAACTTCCACGACGCCCTCATCGGACGAGCTCTCATCCTCGTCTCCGCTAACCTCCTGGTTCTCCCTTTCCCTCTTCTCCATGAGCGCCTGCAGCTCCGCGTCATCATTCTCCGTGACAGCCTTCGGCGCCATTCTGACCACGCATCCACCGCCCGCCTTTGTGATATTCTGATCAATCTCCTTGATTGCGTCCTCCAGCGTCGCGATCCCAACATTCTTCTCCAAGCACTGGCTTGTCAGGACATAGAGCGGCGGTGACACGAGCTTGACTTTGACATGATTATCCGGCGTGTTCTTCGCCTCGGCGGTCCTGAGAGCGTCCTTGACTGCGTCGATGCCGTCGTAGCCGAAGCATGTCACCTCGACGTCCGCGCGCACCTTTGTTGGCTGAGGTGTTAGCCGCTTGCTGATGTAGCTCTGCAGCTCATCCTTGACGACGTCGTTGGGAAACGTGACTTCTTTCCACACGTCCGGGTTTGTGATGGACAGCTTAAACGCGTCCACCGCGTGGCCGTACTTTTTGTTCAGTGGCCAGCCGATGTTTTGGTAGAGAGTTTCGATGGGCGTGTTGGTCTTCTCAGCGACGTGACGCATGATCGAGTGGACCATCTTGGACTTGTTGTATCGCTCTTCGCACTTTATGATGTCTTCGGGGGAGACACGGCGCTTCGAGAGATCTATGTAGCCTGGAACAATATCGAGTCAGCTGAGCTGCATCCGTGAACTCCACGTTCAGTGCCGAGCTCTCACCCTTCTCCTTGTCCACTCTGAGAACAACCACAACCTCGTTCCTCCCGACCCGGATGAGCTTCTGGATACTTCGTATACGTCTCCGGGAGAGTTCGCTAAGTAGGATCATGCCGTCGATGTTGTCGTATTCGAGTAGCTTTACGTATGCGCCCATCTCTGCTATCTGTGATTCTCAAGTCAGATATTGGCTGGTTGAGGTGTAACTTCGGTTCGCCTGACCTGCATCACTTTTACCATGACGAAACTCTCCACCTCCGGGTACTTCTCCTCATAGAACCGGCAGTTCGTTAATGACATGATGGCGGTGTTGTATGCGAATCGTCTTGTGAAAGTTTGGGATGTGGTGGAAGGGCGTCGCCCTGGTCTGGCTGTGCTTCGTTCTTCGCTGGGTATGAAGTTTCTGGTTGGGTCACCGTGGCGATGTAAACAGTCTCGAACGTATACACGAGCTGGTTCAAGAGCTTGCGCGGTGGCTTGAAGGTTACGGTGTTGTATGGGATGACTGTGATGCTGGCGAACATTTTCTGCCACTTCCCTTTGGTGGGGCGTCGTGCCAAGATTTCTGGGGATCACCACAACACTTCATATGTCCGAAGTGAACAAAAGCCATCTCCCAGCTCGAAGTTTTCTGGACTTGCCTATTTGCTTGTGGCCCTCTTGATGCCAGGCTCTCTATGTTCGAGTCGCTCAAGACATTCATAGATCTCATCCAAGCTTTTTCGAACGGGCGCTGTGGGCGTATAAATATGTTCCCAGTACCTCGTGCTACGGAAGACCGCAATTCTCATCTGATCGTACGCTAACCAACACATGCGCGAACATGAATCATTGCTTGGATTCCAGCGGCCCAAATCCGCCCTGAGGAGAACATCCGACGTCCAAATCCGGAGATACTCGGACAAAATCAGAGTGAGTTTCAATGCTTTACCAAAGAGAGGCCCAGTGTGAAACCGGACAAAATCCAAAAGCCTCCTAGATCGTAGTATGCAGCAGCACGCCTCCGACTCCTCTCGGCCAGGCTCCCTCTCCGCGGCCTGAGAACAGCCATCCAAGATACCCACGCGACCCAACCAATACACAAAAGGAATAGAAAGACATGGAAACTTGAGACATGCCACCTTTACCAGCATCACATACCATGAAGCATCGAACATCAATCATACCGCTTTGGGTCCTGTAACTACGCCTATTTCTTCAGCACCGCTTCGTATATGCTGGTCAAAATGCCAATTCCGGCGCCGATCATCACACCCTGGTAGCCCCCCGGGACAGCTTCATTGACAGTCATAACAGTTTCGTCGCCCACCAGGCCACTAAAAGTCATTCCTTTGGAGTACACGAGCCATGTCACCAGGGCCTTCATGATGTTGAAAGTTAAGGGATCGGCCTGGCGCGTTGGCGGAGCTCGCGAACTCCTGCTCGACTTTGAGTTCAAAGTCAGGTTGAAGAAATACGCGAAGAGGAGCGGAATCAACAAGCTTGTGGAAGCCCAAAGTGTCGTCGGCGACCAGAAAGAGCTCGTGACCATAACGAAGAAGTCCGGTAGCCGCACCTCGTGCGAATATGTGCCGAGCGCCTTGATCGCAGGGATGTCGAACGCGTACCGCCACGGCAGCGTTACCCTCTGCAGGCCCCACGCTTCGACGAGAAGCGCCGCGGCTTCAACTCCGACAACGGACGAGAGGACTTCGCGTAGGTATTCGGCGTTCTCGACGACCCCGGAGCGCGACCAGTAGTCTGACACCGTGTCTCGTACGATGGCTGTTTGGCGCTCGATCGCATCTGTCACGACGGCTGGTGACGGCGGCAGTGGGACTTGCGAGACTGCGTGTTGGACTGCGCGCGGCGTACGCGTCGCAAGCGTCTTGATGGTTTCTGGAGCAGATTCGGCGCTAAACCGGGACATGGTAAGTAAAGAACGCGACACGGGCTACGGAGGCAGGGCGACATACAATGACTCCAATTCTTCCTTTACAGTATCGCGTGTACTTCTCCGCCGACTGCGCAGCGCTTGGCCATCATCCTCCGATTTGAAGAGAGTAGAAGCGGGACTGTAAGGCGCCGGTTTGACTGGCGAGACTGGTTTGGCTGGCGACACGTAGCGCTCGTAGAAGCCACTGAAGGCGGGGTTTCTGTAGAGAGAGGAGGCATTGGCGCGCAGGTGGGTATCGACGGCGGTGACGAGCTCGTCTTTGCGCATGCCATCCATACTACGGGGCCTCTGTCAGCTCAGGCATGGCCAGAGTTGTGCTGGTGGCTTACTCAGTTATGCCAGCTTGGGCGGCAAGCGCGACCAGGTCGCCCTTGCGCTGCTTGTTCAACCACGAGGTCATGGCGGGGGAACAATGCGACCAGAGTCGCGTAAGAAAGGCGATTCCAGTGAGTACGGCAAGATGGAGCAAGAGCGTGGTGTGATGTGTAAATGAGCGTCCAGCGATGGTGGGGGAGCGCGTAGAGAGGGCGGCGGAAGATGCATAAACAAAGCGTCAGAGCTACTGTAGCCTAAACTTGCACGCTGGGCATGGTAGTGTCACGTGGTACATCGAGGCATCCCATCGAACAAGGCGAAAGGTCGCATGGGCCTGTGGGAGTCGATCTGCAGTCTCGAGTCAGGTTCGAGGATAAGGAGGGAAGAGAATTGGGTGGTCACAAATAGTGTCTGAGGTACAAGCCCACTGCCTTGAAGCCTTGAAGCCTTGAAGCCTTGCAGCCTTTGAGCCTTGCGGCCTTGAAGCCTCACACAGCGGCGATTGCAAACGCCGACGGGAACGGGACTTCTCTCAGGGCTGAATGCGATCACCAACCAAAAATCCTGAGACGCTTCTGTAAACGTCTGCACCGCCCCCAGACCGCCAACACGCCCAGCCCATACCTCCGAACCGTCGTTTCCTCCAAGACGCCTACCAAGGCAACTGTCGCGACCCACTGCTCTGCTTCAACGCCGCCGGATCAACCGTAGAACGGCAGGCAATCATCTGAGCATTCATGGTACTAGACCAGTTCGTCAACTACTTCTCAACCTCCGAACCGAGCTCCGCGTACCACAGCAATGGAAGAGAGGGAATGGCCTACAAGATGGAGGGGTCGGTCGCCGCGGGGCCGATCGAGGCGATGGAGCATCGAGCGGAGGGGGACGTAGACCTGGAAGAAGCGAGGCCACCGTACATTCATGTGAGAGCGGATCGAAGCACCTGTGCCGTTCATACGCTCACGTCAAACTTAGGCAATGCTCGCCGGCGGTCTCGGAGGCCTGACAGGCGATATGCTGATGCACTCCATGGACACCGTTAAGACGCGTCAGCAGGGCGACCCGCACATGCCACCGAAGTACAGATCCATGGGCAGCACGTACTACACCATCTGGCGGCAGGAAGGTATCAGAAAAGGTCTATACGGAGGCGTCAAACCAGCCTTTCTCGGCTCCTTCACCGGCACCGTAACCTTCTTCGGCACGTACGAATGGAGTAAACGGCTCATGATTGACAACGGCGTTACGCCGAGCATCGCATACCTCACGGCGGGCTTCATCGCCGACCTAGCCGCCTCGCCTTTATATGTCCCTTCCGAAGTACTCAAGACGCGGCTACAACTCCAGGGCCGCCACAACAATCCTTACTTCCACTCCGGCTACAACTACCGTGGCACCCTACACGCAGCGCGCACCATCTACCGGACGGAGGGCCTCAGCTCCCTCTTCCACGGCTACAAGGCCACTCTATGGCGCGACCTACCATTCTCCGCGCTACAATTCGCCTTTTACGAGCAAGAGCAGAAAGCAGCAAAAGCCTGGGTCGGCTCCAAAGACATTGGCCTCCCGCTCGAGATCCTCACAGGAGCGACAGCCGGCATGATGGCAGGCGTCCTGACCTGCCCCCTCGATGTCGTCAAAACCCGCATACAGACGCAACACAACCCCATCTCATCACCCGTCCCCTTCGCGCCTGAGAGCCTGAAGAAGGTTCCCTCTGGCACTTACCAACCAACACCTCCTGCTCCGATCTCGCCAGCCCTCGCCCAAAAACACCGATCGCCGACAACCATGCCACCACAACGCCCCGGCAAACCGCCGCCCAGCCGCCCGATTTCGACATCCGGGGCATCTACGTCACTCAAGCAGCACTCAGCCGCCAGACTCGATGCCTCATCCGTGATTGCAGGCCTGAAAGAAATCTACCGCACCGAAGGTCTGCCCGGCTGGTTCCGCGGTGTCGGACCCAGAGCCGTCTGGACGAGCGTGCAGTCGGGCACGATGTTGGTGCTGTATCAGGCGCTGCTGCGGTGGTTTGAGAAGCATCCGCTTGTGGCGAGGGAGGCGGATTTGGGGTTGTATCGCTAGGTGTATTGTAGGGGTGCTGTGTAAATTATTGTAAAGTTATCTCAACTTGAGGTGGGTGTGATAGACGGATGCATTGGATGGCGCTGGTTGGGCATTTTTGTTCTGTATTGGTGGGGCACTCGCATAAGGCGATGTTTGGGATACCAGGGTGTACATGTAGATAGACGATCTTGCAATCAAGACCCATTGGAGTCCACTCATTCGTTGCGGGAATCTGCCCCTACGTGTGTGTGCCGTGCTCCCAACAATCTGCATGGTGTAGCTCCCTGCCACAAGCGAAGAGGACAGATTGCGGATTATATGTTCAATTATTATCCCGACCAGTCGCCGAATCACTCAAGTTATGGCAGCTTAGTATTGGGTTGGGTGATGCTTATGATTCTATGAATAGAGTTCTATCCGCATCGTATGCTCATAACCAAGGGGTATCCATGATTCGCCAACGCCAGTCAAATGCCATGATTTGTATCCACTCGATGATCATTCCACAACCATCGCAACCCCAGCATCTTCTTTGCACTCGCCTCTTCTCTGGCTTCATCTATTTTTTCTCCGGCTCTACGCCTGGCTCCGCAGGATTCGCCTGCTTTGCCTCTTCCTCAGTGCTCCGTTCCAGCTCCGCCGTTCTCTTGTCCGCAAGATCCGAGATCTTGTCCTTCAAATCCTCTTTCGACTCGGGAATGGGCACGCCACCGGTCTCTTCCTTGGACTCCTGTGCACCCTCTACTTTCGATTCAGGCGCACTCTCGTCCTTCGACTCGGATACATCCCCTCCCTCTGCCTCCTCCTCCTTGGAGTCCTCGGACGCGGGCTGGAAGTACTTCCTGCGCGTTGAAGTCAGCAGACCGACTCTTACGCAATCTCCGCTCACCACGACTTACGGAATCACCTCCTCATAAGCCCGCTCATCCTTCTCCATAAAGTTGCAAAACACAATCTTCTCCAGGCCGTCTCCCCTCCCACTCTCCAAAAACCGCCTCACCTCCTCACACGCCGCCTCCGCCGCCTCCCCGCTCGGATACCCGTACACGCCCGTGCTCAGCGCCGAGAACGCGATGCTCTTGAGCCCGTGATCCACCGCGAGCTGAAGGCTCTTGCGGTAGCAGCTTTGTAGGAGCTGCGTATGCCGCCCCTCGCGCTTCGTGCGGAAGTACACGGGCCCGACGGCGTGGATGACCGCTTTGCAAGGCAGGTTGTACGCGCCCGTGATCTTCGCGTCGCCGGTGTCGCAGCCTGTTTCGTTCTTTGTCAGCGGCAGGTCCCTCTGCACAAGCCCGAAACGACGAGGCAAGAGAGAGGCTGCGGGTTACTCACCGCCTAGTGTCTCGCACTCATCCAACAGCTCCGGCCCCGCAGCACGGTGAATCGCGCCATCCACGCCCCCGCCCCCGAGCAGCGATTCGTTGGCCGCGTTGACGATGCTGTCGACGCGGAGCTTTGTGATGTCGTGGCGGATGAGGCTGATCTTGTCGTTGTAGGATGGGTTGGGCGGCGCGGCGGGACTCGAGGTTGGGCGCAGGCGGTTGCTGGCGTAGAGCTGTGTGACGGTGGGGATTTGGCTGAGGTGGACGAGGGAGGGAGACATTTTGTGGATGTGGCGGGCGAGGAGTGGCATGCAGTGTTTATGGGTTTAGGAGAGGGAGTGGAGGTGGATTGGGTGCTGGATTGGTAGGTAGGCAGTTGCGATTGCTCGAGGTTCATGGTGAAGTCGAGAGCGGCGGGCGAGAAAGTGACGATGGAGCTTGGGCCATCTTCACTCGTTCTTTCGTCATGGACCGAGGGGTAGGAATTGGACGGCGATGGACGGGGGAGTTCCTGATAAATATATCTGACCGCTGGCTATATATACAGAGGGATGCAGTTGGCTTAATTGCATGATCCAATACTAGTTGGAGGCGTAAGAGCTACTTTGTCATTTACACAAGCTTCATCTAAGTCCCCCGCTTGACGCTGTGTTTGTTTCCAAGACTTCACCATTCCTTGTCCCTTTGGAAAGCAGTTTGCATGAGCCAATTCTCCGCAGGGAGTCGTTCACCAAGCTGAACTGCTTCGGATCTATTGTTCTTATGCAAAACATGTGAGACTCCGAGCAGGAAGCGGCAGCGACAGATGAATCTGAGCGGCTTGTTCCTTCCTTACCGTCTGACCTTCCCGCCCGCCTTGTTCCGGGAGCGGGCCGATTACGCTTCCTCACTCCCCACTGTGGCTGGCGGGCGGGACGTTCATGGTCTCGTTGCACATGCATGCTTAGTGGTCAAGACACCGAGTAGGATTAGTTGCCATCAAAGCTGGCTTATGAACGTGACATGGTGTGGGGGCCATTTAGGAACTTTCGCTGGCCCCCATCTCGACCCATAGGGTCTTGAACACTCCCGCCGCTGCCAGGCGGCAGCCAGTTTCTCTCTACTCTGCGGACCTCAGATATGGGCGACTTCGAATATCAAAGAGCCGTTGTCTTAGGCCTCGGCGCCTGGGTAGTCCTGTGGGTCATCGAAGGCATACGCCGAGTCTACTTCCATCCTTTGTCGAAGTTCCCAGGGCCCAAGTTCGCAGCGTTGACGCTATGGAACGAGTTCTATTGGGACGTGGTCAAGCGCGGTCAATTCATCTGGAAGATTGACGAGATGCACCGGCGTTATGGTTTGTAGAACAGCCCCTGGGCCCTTGCAGCTTCGAGTCGCGTAAAGCCTGACCTTGGAGCTCATATTTGCAGGCCCGATTGTCCGTATCAACCCGCATGAACTCCACATCAATGACCCAGACTTCTTCGACGAGCTTTACGCCGGCGGTAAGCGTGACAAGTACCAATGGTGGGTAAACGTCGCCGGCGCGCCTGGCTCTGGCTTCGCTACCGTAGGCCACGACCTGCATCGTCTGCGCCGGGGCGCGCTGAGCCCTTTCTTCTCCAAGCGGTCCGTCACGCAGCTGGAGCCGGTCATTAAGCAGAAAATCGAGAAGCTGTCGAAGCGGTTTGAAACGGCAAGCAAGACCGGAGAAGTTATAAGGCTCGACGCGGCATTCATGGCGCTGACGATGGATGTCATCTGCGACTATTCTTTTGCGAATGACCGGAAGTACCTGGACGAGGACGATTTCAAACTTGAGTGGAAAGAGACGATCATGGGCGCATTCTCAGCCGGAGCGCTGACAAGGCAGTTTCCGTGGCTCGAGGAACTCTTGAAAAGCCTGCCCAGGCCCTTCGTCAAGGCAGTGAACAAGAATGTGCACTTCTTCTTTCAATGGAGGGATGGCGTAGAGGCACAGGTTGTAGAAATTTTGGAGCACAGAGAAACAAAAACGACGCTCTCTACCCGGACGATCTTTCATACGCTGAGGGACGGTGACTTGCCGCCACAAGAGAAGACGCTGGAGAGATTGTGTGACGAAGGCGAGATCCTGACGGGTGCGGGGAGCGAGACTACCGCTTCGGCCCTGTCGAAGATATGGTTCTATCTCTGCGAGAATCCGGATAAGTTGAGGAAGTTGAGGGAGGAGGTGGTGCGCGCCATGCCCGACCCTGATGTGCTGCCGCCGTGGTCTACGCTCGAACAGTTGCCATATATAGTAAATTCATCGCTCCGTGCGTACGTGATGGGTAGGAGACTGACAGAACATATAGTCCGCGGTGATCTCGGAAGGCTTGCGGCTCGCCTACAGTGCGACCACGCGGCTCCCTCGCATAGCCCATGAAGATTTGAGATACAAGGACTGGACCATTCCTGCTGGAGTAAGTGCTCTCTGGCTTATACCTGTCTTTGTGAGTTCCACTACTAAAAGCCATGCAGACGCCAGTATCCGAAACGATCACTCTAATCTTCCTAAATCCCACCGTCTTTCCAAATCCAGAGAGCTTCGAACCTGAACGATGGCTTGCGCGTGCAGCGGACGGTACACAGCGTCTCCACAAATACTTCGTCCCCTTCGGTAGAGGGAGCAGACAATGTCTCGGCATGAAGTGGGTGCTACTCTCCAGCCCAATGCAAGTCTTTTCTGACAGCGTTTGCAGTCTTGCGTATGCGGAACTGTACCTTACAGTCACCATGATTGTTCGCCGGTTCGACTTTGAATTGTTCGAAACGAGTATCAAAGACGTGAGGATAGTGCATGACTTCTTCGTCGCTGCGCCGGACCGGTCATCGAAGGGCATCAGAGCAAGGGTGAAAGAGTTGGCTGTGGAGAAGGATTGAAAGTGTTCATGTCGTCATGATAAGTACATAGCATTTGGTCGAGCCATGAGTACCACAGCGTGCGGTGCATCATGAATCTCGAGGATGCCAAAGACCCCTGCCGCCAGACCCGCCGTGCCGCTAGACCGTCACCAGCGGGCCGGGGGCCGGTTGGAGGCAGAAGCATAGCGTGGATACACAAGTAACAGCTCGAGTTAATCGATCAAAAGTACCGTCTGGGTTTACCGGGACAGCGGCGAGCCATCGCTAGAGTGGGATTGTTACACAGCAACAGCGCCGCTTCACGCCGCAATAATTATTCACGCGATAGCAGCATTCCTCCCTTCTCAGGCAACGCAGCAATTGAAGCAAACTCGACGGCAACGTTTAGCGAAAGCGCAGCCTTCAGGGCGAGCTGCGCAGAGACCGAAGCCCGAACGCCAGAAGTTCAGCAATTTTCATGCAGCAACATTATCTCATTCACTTCGCAGAGCGCATCAATCAAGACGAACGCGACTTCAACACGCTGTCTTTATGAAATTCAGCCAGGAACAGCACTTCACTAAAGAAGCTTACGTCCAACGCCTTCGACTCCAGCAGACCCACACCAACGAAGAAGCCCAAGAGCTAGCAAGTGAGGCCTGGGAAACTGCACGACGGCTATTCAAGGACTTTCGTCCTGAGCATACCATCTACGGCTCTCTGCGAAACTGGCCATATGGAACCACTAGTCGTGGAAGTGGATATTTGGCTCGGCCTGCGTCAATGCGCTGAGGGCTCATTGCCGCACGGGGCAGCGCATTATGTGATACGCAAAGGCCGACGACAAAATCATGATCACAGGAAGCGGTGCCATACAAGCTCAGCACAAGGCTGTTGAGGGCTTTTAGCCGCAGAAGGCGGCGTTTTCTGAACCTAGCAGGAAGCTGGTGTGAACTTGATCGAGCTAAACGGCAACTGGATGAGATCTCTGGCGATGTTTAGATAAGGCGATCTTGCAGTCATCATCTCAAGGTGAGTTGAGGCATGAGTAGTTGTAAGGTTCCAGCGGCCGTAACGTCCATTCTCTGAACTAAGTTTGAAGACAATGAAGCACTCTTGCAGCCGGAACTGACGATTTGTTTGGCGTGCCTTAGATATTACGCTAGACAAGAACGTACAGAACCGCGTGAGGACTCTCATCGCGAGAAGCAAACGAGAGACTGAGCGAATGCAACACATGAAAGGACGTCATCTCCGTAACTTCGTAATCATGTCCATGCCTCCAGCAGTGCGGCCTTTCTTGCTCCTCCGCTGTTGCTTCGAGGCTCCTCCTGAGGAAGGTTCCCAGTCCGCCATAACTCCTAAAAGCGGAGTCACTACTCTTTCCGGCATTCACCGTGCTTGCACTTGTATGGGTGCTTGCAAGGCTCGCAGCACTCCTCTCTCTTAATGCATTTGTTGCCGCATTTCTTGTATCCGTCCTTGCACTCGCAATGGCCATTGTTGCACTTCTCGTAGTCCTTACAATTCTTATAGCATTTGCCGCAGTGCTTCTCGTTCCTCTTGAGATCATAGCACTTCTTATCGTGGCCACATTTTTCTTTCCCGTCCCTGCACTTGCAGTCTCCGTACTCGCATTTCTGATCATGATCGCACTTATTGTCGCACCGGCCTGGGCACACAACGTTAGTAGGAGAGTGGTTCCCGCATACCGACTTACATACCACAGTGATCCTCGGTCTTCTCGAGGTCGTAACATTTCTTCTCATGTCCACAACGCTTCTTCCCGTGCTCGCATTTGCATTGACCATTCTCGCAGTTCTCGTTCTTGTCACACTTGTTGTCACATTTGCCGCAGTGATCCTGGTCCTTATCAAAGTTGTGACATCTGCCGTCAGAGCGGCATCGGTTCTTGCCGGGCTCGCACTTGCACCGACCATGCTCGCAGTCCTCGTTCCGGTCGCACTTGTTGTAGCATTTGCCTGTTAAGATCAGTATGAATCTATCAATACACCTCGGCAACAGTATCAACGTACCACAATGGTCCTTGTGCTTGTCGGTGTCGTAACATTTGTCGTGACAGAAGTCGTATTTGGAGTCATGGCGCTTCTTGGGCCCGCAATCGTAGCATGGCCCCTTGCCCTTCTTGGCCATGTCTTTGCACTCGTGGTCGTTGTGCTTATATTTTTCGTGACACCATCTGTCGCATTCGTTGTCGGTCCTTGAGAACAAGAGACCTTCTTGTGCCCACACAGCGGCAACTAGATCCTGAAGTCAGCCCAGATGGCAGAGACAATAGGTCTTGTGGCGAGGACTCACCGAACAGGAGCAAAGTAAGGAGGAGGAACCTCGCCATGGTGAGATGGAGACTGGGCAGAACCAGAGGTAAGATGTGTGTGTAGAGTGACTGTAGGGTTGCAGCTCTTCACATCTCACCTAAGGGCGCGGGAGAGGCACCTTATGTAGACGCGAACGGATGCAAGCGGATCTCAGCTGCTCAAATTGAGCCCAAGGCAGCCATCGTGAGCTGGTGACCACCATCTGTCGATGCGTACCCCTCACAGCCAAATATTGGATGACAATCAGCCATGTCCGGTCCGGAGTAGCGTGAGAAGCTGGAAGGCAATCTTCCCAATGCGGTCTTGCCAACGTGCGGTATAAAAATAGAGGCTTTGCTAGTCCACGCTTGCAAGCCCAGTTCGTACGATCGACCCGGCGATACGAGCTGCGAGCCTGGAAGTAGTGGGAGAGGACAGAGCGCCGCTGGTCAGATCAATCTTCCCCCAGAGGAGCAAGGGCCGTTCAAAAAGCTCGTTGCCGCATTATAGCTGCTGCGGTTCTCAAGGTCAGCCACCAATGGATTGGACCTGGAATCCTCTTGAAGTTGAATGAACCAGACCGGTTCCATACGACAGAAATCTGTGAGTCACTCATCAGGGTAGTACTCTTGCGCATCGATCGCCTGAGACGTTTTTAGGCTCTGAGAACGCGTTCGGATCACCCACCTTGATGTTCATTACTAGCTTTCCATGTGGCAATGGCTTTCTTGACTGGCTCTTGGAGAGTGAGCTGACTATCGCCTCGTCTATGGTGGCTCCTCTACGGGAGAGGGGCTAATACGATCACGGTATAAACATAGAGCCGGCCTGAAAGCGCCCCCGAGCACTGAGTTCCGAACCTCGAGGATGTACTTCTAGGATCTTGATGGTATGCCCAGGATCCCTCGGGTAACGTCAGCATGATAGTGTTGGTCTGCTGGAAGACCTATGATCCTTCATTGCTCAAACCACTGCAGTATGCTCGCCGCCAAGCGACCTCGCTCTGATTCTGTCGCAGCTCTATGCCAAGAGCGTTAGCAGTGGTGCCCAAGCCAAGCGAGCATCTCTTGGAAAAAGCAGCCGAAGTCTTCGGTATGGATGACATCCGTGTGGAGAGCGGCACAGGCAATCTAGCGTGGGGTCCAGCGCACAGCTACGCAATGTGTATCCCGCAAGAAGATCCAAGTTCAGGATACTCGAGTAAAGGGCCCGACATGCAAGAGAGCGATGTCTGCTTAGCCGCAAGCTGACAGACATGGCTGGCGGTACAAACCGAAAAACCTGGGGAAGTGCGGCTGACCCAGAACCTTGGGATCTTCGGCAAGAGCATGATCTCCAGGTAGCGTAGAATGCAGGCTTACAGAAATGGAAATAGCTAGAGTCAACCGCGCGAGTCTGCCCGATCGAGCCTGGAGAAGCACGAGAAGTCATCCTAGTCTTGGAGAGTGCAAGCTAGGCGAGATGGGCTGGGCTGATCATAAGGCTAATTCTACGTGATCTGGCATAGCCACGGATGGACTCCAACTCGACCGGAGCCAGACCGTTAGGCAACTTCGTAAAGCTGACGCTGTGTGGCCAGCAACGAAGGCGGGGAAATATTGGAAGACTAAGAACGGGATAGACACGGCCCAGGCGGGAGATCCACCGTCAGCGTTGATTCTTAGACACTGCTTGGGAAGCTTGCGCGAAGGGTTTTCAGCAGATACGGGAAGAGGCTGCTTCTTGGAAGCTGACACTGAAGATCTTAAGCAAATGCGGAAGATCGTTCGCTAGTAGGCAGACCTAGGATAAGAGAATACGAGAGTGCTACCACCAAAGGAGATTCTGAAACGTAAAAGTTTGAAGCAATGAAAGAGACGAAGGAAGGGACGAGAGTAACCACGGCCAATGGAGGAGGACTTGCGCTGTTCTGTTAGCTTGCAAGCAGGTCCATCAGCCTTGTTTTCGAGATGTTGCTATTCTTGGAGAAGTCACTCGACCGCCTGCAGCAAAGCACGTTGTGTCAATCTGACGATCTGGCGTCGGGCGGCCTCTTCCCCGCGAATTGTACGTAGCTACTTCAGCTGAAGTCTAGGTGCTAAGTATTTGTCACGGAAAGGTCAATCGCACTCATCCGCCGAAAGCGCTGTTCCTTACTACGTCCTGCTTTAGCAATAAGAGCGTGATAAGGCAATGCTCGTTGCTCCTGATGCTGCGTTCGGAGCCAGCTCTGGCCGTGCACTGCTGTGCAAAAACAAGGTCGACGGCATGGATGCTTGGATAATGTACCTAGCAGATCACTGCTTAGTGGATTTTAGCGATCTGATTTGCGGCACAATAAGTTAGCTTTGCTGAGACGCTTGCGGAGTGGTTGTTCGTCCGCTCCGGGCTGCCTTATGTATGAACGTCACCTTGAGATTGGCCTAAGAGGTTGGCGTTGTAAGAGAGCGAATACAGCATTGAGATCTTGAAATCCCGCTCGAATTATGAGGCTATCTGACGTTCTGGGAGAAGCAATATGCCTCTAGGGTCTGTGTGGCACTCGTACTGTCGCAGGTTATAGAGTGTGAGTATAGGACTTAGGTGAGCAGCACGCGGGACTTATAACTCACTTCTAAATCACTAAAGTCTATTAGATTTACTATGTCTCTAAAGATCTTTACTCTAGCTATCCTACCTCCAGGTATAGCTTATATATTTTTATATAGTAGTATACTATAAAGAATTACGCCTATTCACGACCTCTATAAGCTGACTAAAGACCTATCTATTTTCCGGAGTCCGGTAGTTCCTGTTATCCAGGTGAGCAGGTCGTGCGCGGCGGCGGCGCGGTGAGGTATGGAACTTCGCTCTGGCAAGCTTACCGAAGTGGGTCGGTTATGATTTGTTCACAGCTGCATGACCGTACCACTTACCTCATGGTCTATCAGTCTATCTGGGCCATGTCATCTATCGTCTTGAAACCCCGAAAATCTTGAATAACTGACTGAGTGTTTCTAGTTGCAACACAAGGGTGTGTCCAAAGGCACCTAGAGACTTCAGATATCGAAGCGCCGGTCGATACGTTTTTGCCGACGAGATCATGTCATTGAGATGAATGTCTATCAAAGCGCGATAGTTCACACGCTCTGCCACAGAGCCCAACAAGCAACGAGAAATCTATGCTCTCATCTCTAGTTCTTCAATCCAACGCCTTCCCAATGCCGCAAACACCTCTGCTGAATCATCTTTCCCGCCATTACACCCCCTTCGTCACCGTTCCGCCCTCCTCTCCCTCTCAGCCACATCCCTCATCTCCTGAAGCATAACCTCATTAAACTGATCCACCCCGTCTAAATAGACATGATGCCCCGCCTTCCTAATAATAACCACCTTGGCCTCTCCATTATCTTTCTCCCTCTCCTTCTGATCCAGACCCTCAAGCGCCGCCCTCTTCTCCTCCCTAATCTTCTCCAGCGCCGCATACCCACCCCTGACATCCATCCAATCATGCTCTCCATACATGAACACGACCGGAATCCCGTTCTCCCGGCTGCGGCCACTCGCCGCCTTCGCCGCGTCTGACGCCCGCCGTCCTTGGGCGCCCTCCCCAACCATGGCCTTGTCGCTACTACCCTCCCCGACGGCAGCACCAGCCCTTTCGTTCCCTGCCGCATCCGCCATCGCGCCCTCATGAGGCGCAAGATACTGTCTCCCCACCCCCTGAATCCGCCTGATCAACGGACTCCGCGCAAACGCCCCCGGCGCAAGGATGTGCGCGAGCGCGTACTCGCCCGACCCCTTCTGGCGGAACAGACTGTACGAGTAGTCGTGCAGCGCGCGGGCCTCTTCGGCGGGCAGGTGGCCGAAGCGCCGGCTCGTCCAGCCGGAGACGAGGGAGGGCCCCAGCGGACCGGCCCACCGCACTAGCGAGAAGGGCGAGAGGTTCTTCTCCCAGAGGTAGGTTAGCCAGGGCGGGTAGGGGCGACGGGGCGCCTCTGGTTTCCTGGTGGGGGTGCTGGTGCCAGAAGTGGAGTGTCTGTTTCGCCCGTTGAGGAAGTTGTTGTTATCGCTCACGGTCGTATTCGCGTCGTTGGTGACCTGGTCCGCAGCGGCTGAGTCGGCGCCATCGGGCATCTCGGCCGCGACGGCGTACGGGTCTTCGGGAATGCCGACGGGCGACGCGAGGATCAGTTTGTTGAGCCGGCCCGGGTACTTCAGGGCGTAGGCGACGGCCATGTAACCGCCTAGGCTGTGCCCGAGAAGCGTAAAGCGCTCAATGTTTCGCTCAATCCGCCACTCTTCAAGCGCGTCGATGAACCAGTTCTCCGCTTCTGTGATCTTGCCCTGGCGGTCCTTAGCGTGCAGGCGGAAAGGCGGCCGCGATGAACGGCCCATGCCTAGCAAGTCGAGCGCGTAGAGCTTCCAGCCGGGCGCTCGGGATAGCGCTTCGAAGTTCTTGTAGAAGAAGCCGAGGCCGGCGCCGTAGCCGTGCAGCATGACGAGGTTGTTTTCCACCTCTTCGCCCACGCGCTCGACGGAGAATTCGTTGAGAGCGCGGTTCTGGCCGGAGAGTTTGACGAGAGTGGAGTGCCAGCGGCGGGGGCCGTAGGGGTCGGTTATGGAGGTTGTTTTCACGGTGCGGCCGCCGTCTGCGATGTCCTCATTCACGTTCACCCGAGAGGCGACGGGAGATATTGGAGCGGAGTGGGTTTCGGTGTGCGTCGGCGGCTTCTGGAGGTACGGTATGAAGGAGAGCACGGTTTGCTCGGCCTTCTCAGGCGACAGGCTGGCCCACTGCAGAGTGTCAGCACGTCTGAGGACCACTCCTGCTCTGGAGAGGACCACGCACCCACTGAGCGAAGCCTTCTTTGTAGCCCAGCGGAAACCACCCTTTCCGCCGCTCCGGCGCCGCGCTCACATTCTCCCTTGCTCTTTGCGACGCCAGCGGGCTCTGCTGTGTGCGGCCCCGGATGTCATCGCCGCTCTCTGCTGAAGCGCTCATTGTGGAGTATGGAATCGCCTTCGGAGTGAGGCGTAAAGGCTCGTATAGCGGAGTAGAGGCTCTCAGGCGCAAGAGACGTCCTCGAAGGAAGGGCGTGCGGTAAATGTTGGGAGCCGGCAGCGAATGCAACGGCAAGACTCTAGGGCGTAGCAATTCCGAGGGCAGTGTAGCAGCAGCAGACGAAGCGGTTGTCTGCTGCTTAGTTTGGGGTTGTGAAGAGGAGTGAAGGAGCGGCGAGCAGTGTTGTTGTTTTAAGACGACGGGTGACTTTGGAGACTTGGTGGCGGTCCCTAGGCGATGATGATGTCGCGGACCAGCAACGGAGTCGGCCTGATTGCCTTGTCCGACGCCGAGAGCGTCTTATCTCCGGCGGTTGCTGTAACCGCACCACAGCATGTTTTGAGCCTCATTGCTACAGAAGAGGCATTGTTGAGGAAAGACCTGTCAACGAGTAACAGACAGGGCAATATGAGTAGCGTTATCACCCGGTAGCATCCCAGGCGCATCACCGCGCCGCAGCACCACCTCATCAAAGACTCTTCCCACCCCCTCCATCACAACCACCATGTCCGAATCCAAGCTCGACCAGATCGTAAAAGGCGCCCCTCCCCCTAACATCACCGCCCCCGAAGTCGCCGCAGCCACCTCATCCCCCACCTCCCCCGCCGAGCGCACCTCCTCCGCCCGCGCCGCACGCTCCCTACGCAGCGCCCCCCGCACCACCCACCCGGACCCAACCTCGCTCCTCCCCTCCTCCCCGCCGCAAATCTACCTCAACCTACTCATCCTCGAAGCCTCGCTGCGGGCGCAGTACCTGCAGCTGCGCGGCCGCCGGCGCACCCACACCTGCTTCTTCGGCACCTGGATCCTGTGGACGTCGTATTTCGGCTACGCGCTCTTCCTGGCGCCGCGCGAGGATGGCTCTGGCGTCGGCGGTAGTGTTTACTGGGGCGTCGAGCGCCTGCAGAGGATCTGCTTCATGGGCGCTATTCTGGTCGCTGTGCTGGTCTGGGCAACGGGCGTGTGGGAACGGCATATGCGCTGGCCGAGACGGTGGCTCGGCACCGCGAATAGGGGTCTCAGGGGCATGAACTGCAAGGTGGTGGTTATTAGGGGGCCGTGGTGGAGGGAGTGGGTGGGGCATTTGGGGTCGCTGATTCCGTACAGCCTCTTCTTTCCGAGTCCGGGAAGTGAATTTCGGCTCGTGGAGGTGAACAGGGAGGAAAAGAGGACCATGCTGGAGAAGGGACAGGGAGGTGGCTTAACGTTGGGTGTGCCGAGACATGTGGTTAGGGACCACGTGGAGTATGTGGAAGAAGATGTGGCGCCGGGCGGGGATCACATCAAGTTGCTGCTGCTGCCCAAGCCGTTCACTCCGGACTTTAGGGAGAATTGGGAGCTTTACCGGACCGAGTATTGGGAGAAGGAGAATGAGCGCCGCGCGGAGTTGCGCAAGAAGGTCAGGGCGCGTGATCGTGAGCTGGCGAGGCAGGAGGGTGGATGGCTTTGGTGGACGGGATGGCGTGGCTGGAAGAAGGCACGCGGTTTAACAACCGGCGGTGGCGATATCGAAAGACCTGCTTCGAGGTCGGGCGTTGCCCGCCACAGTAGTGTGAGGAATGGGAAGAAAAGAGAGAGCATGGTCTTCGAGCGAGAAAGGGATGGGAGCCACTCGAGGTCATCATCCCGCAGCTCGACGCCCGTGGGAGAGCGGGACCACGGAAGGCAAGGGTCGTTGTCCATAATGGAGAGGGAAAGAAGGTGGAGCAACAGTACTGCGGGCAGTGTGACATCTGATCGAAGGCGAAATAAGCCCATGCCGCTGTCAATGGCGAGGAGCGGTAGCAGTACGAGGCCAAGCAAACTCACGCCGACCGGATCCCGTCCTGTCACTCCGACCACCGGTTCTTCTGAGGCGGTACCGGCCCTGACCAAGCGAAGTAGCGCCCTCAGCATCCTTAGCACCAGCTCGGGCGATAGCGACAAAGCAAGCGCTGTGGAAGACGAGAAGCAAAGCGGGGAGGCGATGGTGTCAAGTGCTGCCTAGTATTCATATTGCTAGATGGACCAGCATGGGTAACTCGTCGTTCAAATCTGCTCACGACAGCATTGATGCTTTTGAGGCAAGTCCACCAGTGCGTCACTTTGTCGATCGCGTTGAAACGCTTTTTTGAATAAATGTTCCGTCGATAGATTCACTTGGAGAGAGCCGCACTCTCCGAGCCTGTACATGCCCTCACTCCGCTATCTTAGGTTTTCATTCGTGATGTAGTCTACCCGCTGCAGGGACTCTGGCGCCATGTACGTCCAGAATTGGTCCTTGTCTGTCTCGTTTCCTTTCTCCGCCAAACCCATGCGAATCCCTCATTGCTTTCTTCTAATGCCATTGGCGAAGCTTCATGGTGCTCTACGTCCAGCTTGATGACCCAGTGTCAAGGATCACTCTTCCCGTTGTGCTCTTCCCTCTCATCTCCGGGTACTACTTTCCTCTTCCTTGTCTCTTTCTGCTCCTAAGATAGTCATTGCATCCTAACCGAGTGACGCCCATCGAACCCCCCTTCCTCCCTCTCTACGATCTCTCCCAAGGAATCTCCTTCCTCCGCTCCCCTCCCTCTCCCCCCCCCCCCCCCCCCCCCCCCCCCCCTAAGATAGTCATTGCATCCTAACCGAGTGACGCCC